TTCCTCAAAACATGTTCCCTTTCTAATGGAACACTTTATATGGTGACCATTTGAACCATCCTTGTGACAAACCCATTGGCTAACCTTGTTCATACGTTGCTCTTCATTATATTGACAAATTTCATTTTTACGTTTATTAAAACATCTCTAGCCGTATGAAAAGTTTTAATCATGCTGAAAATGTTAAAGGTATTAAAAGAAGGCATGGTACATTAAATATGTATTTGTGTTCTTTGATTTAAATTTTAGAATTCAGTAGAGGGCTAAGTAACTGAAATCCTAAAGTGAGCTTTTTAAGAGAGTGACTAATCAGCCAAAAGCTAAGATTAACTTTATTATCTATGGAAAGAAAAAAAATTAATCATTATTTATTTCCTTATCATTTAGTTATTTATTTTCTTATGAATGCAATTTAAAATTTCTGTTTAACATTTCAGACTGCCACTATACCTGTCATCAACGCTGCCAACATTTGGTCACTCTTGACTGTAAAGGATCTGGTGACACTCAGACTACAGATCTTAGTAAAATAATAGATGCAACTATGAAGAATGATTCACTTGAAAAAGTAAGTGGCATTTCACTCATAAACTAAATGGTGGTGTTGAAATCTTTTATAAAAACTGTAATAAAATTTAATTTATTAAAATATTTAATTTTACCTTCACATGAAATGTAAGATTTAATGCAAAGGTACTCTTCAGTTACTGGGACCGCATTCACTAATGCATGTATACAAAAATGTATGTCCATATGTATGTGTATGTATACACATACATGCATTCACATATACATGCATAGATACATTTCTGAATCCAGTCCTGGTAACAGAAGAATACTAACAGCTGATATTTTTTCTTGCTTTTTTAGTTCTTAAAATAAAGTCAGACTAAAAAACATATGTTACGTAAAGGCATATACAGTACAAAGTCCGAAATCCGGACGTCCATTATCCAAAATGATCTAAAATCCGGACCTCAAAACCACCACCAACGTTTTCTCGTAGGCTTTATGCATGTGCATTTGATTCCCCCTCCTTTGTGCGTAATAAAACATCTGGAGAGTCCCAATTCTTTTCATTTTGACACTAAATAAAATACTTTGTTTTGAAGAAGCAATCATTTTAGCCTAAACTTGTGCGATCAGTGATTTGGCTACATTGCATCAGTCTTGGCATAATCTCAAACCGAACATTCCACACAGACTCATTGATCTGAACCAACCTGGCGATTCATTATTTATTATACTTTCCTTTCATCTTTGCATGTTTATCAAAACATGACAAATTGAGTAATGACTCATATAGTGATGCCTAAATAATTATTTTTATGCTAGTAATTGAATAATAAAGGAGTGTGGTAACCTTTTATGTTGACATTACACTTGGTGATGATTACAGATTTAAGTTAAATGTGCTAAAAAATGTTGACGAAAAATTTACCAAAAATTTCTTTGCATATGCTAAAAATAGATTTTGTTAATGATGCTCATAGACCCAAAGATTACATTTAGTGCTATTTGAATTTAGAAAACTGATTTGTTATTCACAAACCCCCCGCACAAGGGCTCGTATGCCGCATTCAATTGCAGATTAGGACTCACAGAGACTGCGTCATGCGTTAATATATACCGCGGACCCTCATAAGCTTAAATATATGATGTTAATTTATTTATTCAGACTCTGATAAGCCTTAAGCATGTGCAAGACAATAATAAATTAACTAAACTATATAATTCAGGCTTAATTGTCTCAGTGCGCGATAGAACAAGATAAAATTTAACAGAACAACTTGTCATTAGTCGCCAAGCTCATGATGCATAGCCAATATGTATAGTAAGGATAGCCAAATTGAATGATGATAGCACTAATTTGAAGGTTTTCGGATATTGCAAAACAATGGTGAAATTTTCCAATTAACGGATTTTGTAAAGAAATGTGGAGAAGCGGTAGTAAAAGAAGTTTTTATATCATGAATGGTGAAATCTATAGTATGGTTCTAGATCCAGGAAATACCGCTTACCGGTAGTAAAGAAAGTGACAGAGAAGTTACTGAAAACCAGAAAATTTCGATTGACAAGTTATTCGGAATTCCCCAAACAACAGTTCCAGGACTTCAACAATGTAACTAAACAAGAGATTATGTCTGTCTGCAGAATTAAAGAGAAAGTATTAGCACAAAAAACGAAGCAACTTAAAACAACTTACATTGAAAGAAATGTTTAATAACAAACAAAAGTAAAAAGTAACAAAGGTAAACAAATAAATGTTAAGCTTTTTTTTTAATAAATTTTGATACCCTTTAGAACATAAATACTTTATTATTTCCTAAATCACAATTTCATATTTTTAATTTTATAATTTCTACATGTCGTCTTACTAGATTTAAACTGGTGATCTATTATCCAGAAAAATCCCAAATCTGGAATCGCTAAAGTCCCAACGAGTCCGGATTTCAGACTTTGTACTGTAATTGTTTTCTCATGTCATCCCTTTAGATGTATAGATTTCTAGTACTTTGCCATGATTAAACTAACTTTATACAGACATATTTAAAATCTGAAAATTTTGTAAGAATTTAAAGAACCTAATTTTTAAGTACAGTTTGTTTAAGATTGGTTTTTAAATTCAAGAGTTGAAAAGAGGAAGTTATTTCAGCTGAATAAAAATTCATTTTCTCAAGGGTAACTTTTTCTTTATTTATGACTCCTGTACCCTGAAAATTGAAAATTTAATAGTTGGATTTGAATATTAAGACTTCAAGAGGATGAATATGTGCCCTTAAATATATGCAAGGATATATGTTATATGCATTTGTACTTTGGTTATTATTATCAGTTTTTTTTTCTGCATTCTGTTCAGGAAAGATTATCTCCATTATTTTTTGAACATTTGGATGAGGAAGAATTAAAACGTAGGATAGAAAGATATAACTCCTTGCATCACAGTTCTGACATGGTTCTTGTAAGTACTGAGAAAATTTTTTCCTTTTTAAAAATTCAGGTATATATATATATATATATATATATTGTTGCATTTTTTCTTTTCTGACACCATTTGTTACGTTATTTTATTCCTTCACGTTCGTACGGGGTTCGTGAAGTTGTTACGGGGTTTGTAGATTTGGAGTGAATAACGGCGATACTTGATGAGGTATCGAAACACAATCAGGACAGCTCCAAAACTCGTTTTTACAGTCGTCGATGAACTACTATAAACACGCTGACACGATCAGTGACACAGCCTCCAGGTTATCAGGCTATCACGGTGGAGACAGCTTCACGGCAAAGCACTAAAGTACAGCTCCCGACTCTGCTTGGTCATTCTCAGAACTCCGCGTACTCTCGAGACTCTCCACGCTACAACTCGTAATGTACTCGACGACACACAGAGCACAGCTCCCAACTCTTCGGTTCAGCCGTTCACGGAGCTTAGCACGCTCTCTCGACGGTGTACTAACCGTGATACACTACGAGACTCTGTGCACTCGACGATCCACTCGCCACTCGCTGCCCGACTTGTCAACTCAATCCTCTCTGCAGGGATTGATTCGCTAGACGAGACACCTACTCGATACTAACTAACTCACACACCAGACAAGGGACTCTGACTCGCTCGATGAAGCAAACACACTAACTGACTGCGGACCAGAAGGGTTTATAATGCTTTCGGCTTGTGTTCGAGAACATTCTGGGCTAAACCGGTAAGAATTCATTCCAGAAGGTTCTCCATCTGTCCATGGTATATCGCCAATTTTGGCACCAAATGGATGATTTCTTGCCAAATGTGGCAACCCTGCTTTCCTTGCTATTTTATGACAACCCTAAAACTGCTTTGTGGGGAAGCCATCCTACCGCGCCTGTACATTTTGTAACAATATATTTTCATGTTTGATATGTAATGGACATAACTTTGCATATGGTATGTAATCCACATAGCTTTACATTTAATACTTACTCAAAATAAATTGAATTCAAAGCTGTGCATTAAATAACTGCATCTATTTTAATTAGGCTGTTATACTTAATTTTAAACCTCTTCCATATATTACATTTATCATTTTAATTTAATGCATAGTATTCTTCAATTCAAAATAAATTTGAATGATTGATAATACATATTCATCATCTTAAAATATTACATTTTCTAGAAAACAGAAAGTTTAGTATTAGTTCTTTATTGTGTTATTCATAATAATACAGTCATTTTAGATGAAAAAAAATTATGGTTACTTATGTATTAACACAAATACCTTAGTAGAAGTCACAAAGTTTCAGAGTGTGCCAAACTATGACAACCATGCGTAACACGATTCTTCTGACAACCATGCTCTTAACAGTCTTTCAGTCAAGCAACAGTGCTATTTTTGTTTGCGTTCTTTTTTGTTGTGTTCCAAGTTCTACAAGTTTTTATAAACAAATTGTGATATTTTTTTCCTTAAACTTATTGCTACCAATGGAAAAAGCTGTGGTAAAATTCCTGTAGAAATATATAATTTAGCTGAAAATTTCTAAAGCGAGCAGTGAGAAAATGCCTGTACTTAGATGTTTACGAGGTTTACATGAAACCGAGTCTCTGCAGTTCTCCTTATTTTTTTATTTATTTTTTTTTAAGCAAAAATAGATTGTTGTGTACTTCAGAAGAAAAATTTAAAAAAAAAAAAAAAAAAAAAAAAAAAAAATTGCAGAAAGATTTGAAGAAGATGTGTTTTTTAAATATATCACATAATCTTTATTTAATAATATAAATTTGTATTTTAAATTGCCAAAGTAGGCTTCCTTTTCATATATGTTTACCAACTTATATATATAAATTATACATACAACTTATATATACAATTTTTCATATAATGTTTACGCACTGTCGCGTAATGTTTACCAGTGTTTATTGTATAAAGATTGATAGTCTGTGAATCTTTCTGGAGGGGGGGGGTCCCCCAAACCACCAGCTTTTATCTCATAATTAACTTCTATCTTGTCATATGTAAAAAATTGCCAAAATTACTAAATTGTACCAGAGTGGTTGCCTTAATACACAAGTACGTCTTTTTGTATAATTTAGTTATATAACTCTGGTAAATTTAAAATAGCCACAAATTTATACCTCATTATGTATAATTTAGTTGCGTAACTATGGTCTTCTTTATCACGTCAACAATTTATATATTTTTACAAAGTGATTTTTTTTGGGGGGGGGGAACTACAGTAAGTTGCGAAAGTAAGTACATAAAAGGTATGTACAATGTGTGATCCAAAAATCAGTAAACATTAGAAAAATTTTGCATTTTGTGAATTTTTCAATGTATTGTAAAATAATTATTTGCAGATGCTCAAAGTCGATTTTTTTTAAAGACTTTTTGGTACTTTTCCGTTTCACCGGCACAAATCTCGCCAAGCAGACTTTACTGGTGACAACATACAGTATACACATAAAAAATGTTAGTTCTAAGAATTTGCTATCTTGAAGGCATAAACATTTTAATGTCATTTAAAATTTTGTAAAAAGCCAATAAATAAAGACAATAAATTTGTAAAAAGATATTAATTTAAGAATTTACTATACTTTCATGGTTCAACATCCTGATTCACCAGTTCTCATCATGTGACCCCAAGTGATCTCATCTTACGTAAACTACGCTACAAAAATCTAATTCTCTCAGTAATTATCTACGTTAATTTCAAGTTAAATCTTAATTTGGAATACAAGTGCAAGAATTATTTCAGTTCATATACCTTACTAAAAAATTATGTAAAACCGCGGTGCTTTACTTTGCTAGTGCATTCTCATTAGAACTGATGAATTTAACCCTTGATTTTGTCTTTTCTATATTTTCGGGTGAGTGGTGTGATTGCATCCTAATTGACTTAATTACATGAATGGCCTTAGGGCATAAAATTGAACTATCGTGTAAAAATTCTATGTAATTGTATGCCAGTATTGATAGAAACAATCAATCTGATAAGAAATGGCTGCAACTTTTTTTGAAAATGAGGCGTAAAAGATTACCAGCGAGGATATTCCATTTGGCATCAGTCGTACCATTATTGGCGACTTGGTTGCCTGCGTCGTCAAAACGGAAATGTACCAAATTTTTATATTGTAAGTTGCTTGAATTGCAATTACGCTAACATTTAGAATTCTGAATGTATGACTACTTTCTGATTGTGATTAAGCACTGTGCATCCCTAATTTTGAAGAATGGCCATGGAATTTTGTAGCATTTTATACAAGGCGGAGCATCATTCCATATTGCTTCTTACTTTCAAAGTTTTCAGAAATGGAATATTAAACTGTTGTTTCAGTATGAATGGTTATATTGAATTTCAGGCCTAAAATTCTGTTTTAGTTTTAATAATATAGTTTATAAGTCTACCTGCAACTCTGGATATTCAGAGAGACATCATCACTGGTGGTGTGGAAATATGCTTTGTGATATCATGCTTCAAAGATTCATGCTGAACTGTTATTTCTGCTATTCTTGCATCTTAGTTTATCTTCAGGCAATGCTGAAAAATGACGGCTGCGACATTCAATCATTATTATGTGATATTTTGTACTTTTTTAGTGGATGAGGCATTATCTGTTAAATGTAATTATGATTTTAAGAATTTCACTTTTTGGCCCCATTTCTGGACTATTTACGTTGGAAATTCAGTAAAATACTTTTTTATTAACTGACTGACTTTTGAATCACCCTGCATTTTATTATAAATGTTTTATATTTTGCCTGATGCTCATAATTAGGCTTTCTACATAATTTAGCAAGAAGATGGAGAAACACTTCATGGTTTTATCCGAGTTCATATGAATCTTACAAGACCAATTAATGTTATTGCTGGTACTCGTCCACCTTCCATCTATGATATACTAAAAGAAGAAGATGATGGTGGCCGTAAAACCTTGACTTCATTTTATTTACCCAGGGATACAGTCAAAGCCTTACATATTACTAGGTATGATAATGTATTGAGATTTATTTTTTAATTTGGATAGTGTGTAAGTGGCATTAATGTCGTTATATATTCTAAAAGGAACCTCTTAGTTTATTATATTGTGCATCATCCATTTTCTTTATCATGTACCTTGACTTGCCTTATTTGCAGTCTGTATATAAGAATTTTAAATCTGTATAAAAAGTGTTGTGATAGTATCTTAGATTACTGTAGGAATGAGATTGGATGATGTGTAAAAACTTTTCACAACTTTGGCGAGAGTGTAATGAAGGAATTCATATACAGGAGAAAACAAATGATATGTGCATTCTTATTATAAATTTTAAACTTAGAAATTATAATAAATAAATAACTCAAAAAATAAGTAAGATCTTACTGTATATTTTAATTTCAATGTTTCATTTTGTTAATTTGTTTTCTTTGTATTTTATCCTTTTATACTTTAATGTTATAAATTCTTGTTTTATTTTTAAATTTTTCTTCTTTACTTTAATGTACCAAGCTCTGGGTGTTCTGAAAAGTGTATATATATGTATATATATATATTTTTTGTATTATAGATTCTTATTATATGTATAGTTATGAATATTATATGTTTAAATCTTTGCAATAATTCTTCCATAAATGGCTGAGTTGTAAAGACCATTGCAGCTGTATGCATGTTTGAAAATCAGTTTTATTATTTTAGTCGTTTCAATGGTTTTTCTATCGTATATGTATACAGGAACAGGAATTAAGAAGAATATTTAAAAATATGAATGCTATCTAAACTAAAGGAATAATTGCACTTTACAGAAAAAATATATTGTAATTAAGTTATATTAAATACTAAAATGCAGAAGAAAGAGTTGATAACCAGTGAAAACTACTTTGGAACTTTAAGTAAAACTGATTACGTCTAGGCAAAATGGCCAAAATTTTAAAACGGTCAGATTGAACTATTTTTTGCTCTTGGGGGGGGGTGGACAAAAATATATTAATTTCCCATTCTAGTTAATTGGTAGTAGAGATCAATATTTCAGATACTATGCAATTTTGAAATTCAAAAAACAAATAATCAAAAACAATTGCATAGCATCATTGCCTTTAACAATTTGAAAACTGAAAAATAAAAGTTAAAAACTTTATTTATTAATTTATTGTTATTATTATGATTTGTTTTGTTTTGTTTGTTGAAATTGGATAGGAGATTGTGCAATGCAATTAATTTTAATTTGCTTTTTCGGTTTAATTGTTATTTTTTCATGTGTAGAATTACTGTATTTGACGGCATATAAGACGCACTTTTTTTCCTAAATTTGGTCTCAAAAACATTTCCTGCATCTTATACGTGAAGGACACAGTCTTATACGTGAAGGTAATTGCATTCAATAATTGTTTATTTGGCTTTTACGAAACGTGAGAACTAAAAGAAACCACGCTATTTAAACTTTTTTCCTTGTGTGTGGCCGTCTAAATAAAGGTGCGTCTTATATGGAGTCAAATACAGTACTTGTTTTTACATGGATTTGTTTGTTAAACTCATTATCAAAATTCTTTTAGATTTTTTTTATATTTTATAGCATAAACTCACCAGCAATAGCACATTATAAAAATCTGTAGTTTTTCAGAACCAAAACCAACAAAGGTTGCTGAAGCTGTAAGAAAAGTACAAAAGCTTATGCTTCATCTTCTGACTGATTCAGTATCACTAATAAATTCAAGAGGAATAACTTGGTTAAAGAAATTAAAAAATCATCTTCGTGTTAAGAATCGAGAAACACTTGACATTTTTTTTTTTTTTTTTTTTTTTTTTTTTTTTTAAGAACAGCTCTTATTATTATAAAATTTGCATTGACTTGGCTAAAGATTTAATTAAATACAGAGCCTCTAAATGCCTCTCTATGCATTTTAAATGTTTTAATTTATTTTGCCTTATATATTTATATATGTGTATTAGATGAGGATTAGCTAAAATAAAATTAAAATCTTAATTTTTAATGTCTCCTTTTCAAGTCTCCATTTTAGTTTCGTTGTGTCCCTTTCTACCCTAAAAATAATAATATGCTTTTAATAAATCCTTGTTAATTGCATCATTTCAAAGTAATCTCTGTCAGATGATTCTTATATAACACTAATGATGGATGTATTTACATAATGGCAAAATCAAAACTAAATTTTTTTATCCAATAGTAATCCTTTAATTTGGAAACCTGAAATTTAAATAATGAATAGAAATAAAATGGTACCATAACTTTGCTATTCTTAATCAGTAAAATATATGTCCAATCCTTAAATATCCCATCTCTGGTTTTAACTCTTGGGAAATGCATCTTGTCAGTGTAATCTAACGTACATTGGCCAGATTAAAAGAGCACTGAAATTTTGCACTTCAGAATATTAATCCTAATTTCAAAAAGGAAGAAATAAACATATCATCCTAGCTAATCATAGCTAGTCATTTGACCATAATTTAAATTTTGATTCTATGAAAATTATTAACATTGTTGATATGTTTAATTTCCTTGAAGCCTTTCACATTTACAAAAATTTGCCTTCTTTAGTTAATGACACTATTTCCAGTCCAGTGCTTTCAGAATTCTAACACCATGGCTTTTTCTCCTTGTTCCACATATTGATTTCCTTATAAATATGGTTCTTACTGCTGTAACCTTTGTGAAAATGCTTTTCTTCTGAGAATGGAAACTCATCCTGAATATCCTCAAAATTAGTTTTATTTTAAAAAGCCTGAGACTTTCTTTTTTTTAAATTTTAAATGATTATGGATATGTATGCTTAAATTAAAACTGTCTGTTATTAGAAATTATGCATTAGATGGAACTTCAGAACATTTATACAAAATGAAAAGGTTGTAACTTGTTACAGGATTTTAATATTTTAAAATTAGGTTTCTAAATGGAAAGTCATTCAAACTAGAATATGTGCCCATTTACTTTTTAAAAACAAATTAAATTAAGAATTTAGATAAAAATGTTGGTGACGTTCATTTTGTTTATCTGATTATTATTATCAACAGAGTTAATATGTGTTTAAGATTTCTTTTAAAAAATTTGCACCATTAAGTTATGTATCAACAACTAGAAAATAATCAAACAACTTTTATTAGAACTGCAGGAATGTAAAATTTGCAAAATCATATGAATTATTTTGACAGTTTTAGAAAATATGCAATAAATAACATGAATTCCATTTATCCTTAAGTATAATTTGCTGTTAGCTTTTATTTGAATTTATTGCTATGTAATAATATAAATATGTGGATATTTTCATATCTTTTTATTATCACAACATATTTCATTTGTAGCATCTTTATTCACTGTTATTTAAAGGATTTAATTTTAATTTAATGGTATATTTTTAGTGAGTTCTCTGCTCGAGAAGTGATAAATGCTTTGCTGAAAAAATTTAAAGTTGCTGACAATTCCCACAAGTTTGCCTTATATGAAAGAACCTATGCTAAAGGTTCAAATCAAGGTAATTTTTGCTAAATTTCTGTTTTCCATCCTTAAGCACAAGGGTTTACTATAAACACAAAAATAATCTAACTCATTTCTTCATTATATGCAATGAAATCTTATATGCATTAAAATATTTAAATAAACTATTTTTTCTGCTAAATTTTTTTCACATTTCCTTTTTTTAATGCCAAAATGAATAAAAAAATAAGAAATATTTAATTATTACATTGAGTTATTAGGTTTTAAACAGAGACATTTAACAGCCATAGGCTTTTATGATATTCCAGGGCCAGCTATTAATGAATTGCCAAAATATGAGTCTCCAAACTCTTAGAGCTCTGAGCATTGCTCATACGTTAAGATGGCACTGGTTTTAAAATGTGTAGTGATCATATATTGTTAATATACTGTTAATATATAGTATAAATCTAAAGATTTGATTTTACACTTATATTTATTATTGCATATGATGTATTTAAAACTCAGTTTGCTTTTTTAGACTATAAATAGCATTTGCTTTATGAGTTAGTTCATTCAGTGAAAGCTCAGTAATGGATTTTCGTGTGGGAATTCACTTTAAATGTCTGCCTTTTATTAAATGTAAGTTAATGAGATTAATTTAATACCATATCATGTGGAAGAAAAATTTCATTTGATAAATGAAATATAAGCATGATTTTTCAAGCTATTCGAACTGCATAACATAGTTTTAAAAAATTGTCGTTTATGAAATGCATTTCTTTAAATAAAATTATTAAATATATATTTAGAAATGCATTTATAAAATGTCATGCATAATTGGCTATTTGAAATTACTGATCTGCTTCCTGTCGATGCAACCTGTCCAAAAAAAACTTAAAGTTTGATTTATTTCAAATTGTAGATTTAAGAGTGAAAAAATTGTAATGCAGTGTAAAATGTTCCTTGTCCATTAGTTTCCTTGACTGATTAAGTTTTATATTTGCTTTATTCATCAAGAATACCATCAGCTATAAAAACAGCTTTGTACAACAACTATCTGTGAAGTTATTGCAGAGGTCTGAAGTGAAACCTAATGATGTTTCTGATCTTAAGTGAAGCTACAAGCTTCCTGATCTAAGGCTTATTATATTACAATGATGGTCTGATCAGGAGATCACTAGTGGGACGATGTGCCCACATTTTGATTTCAGTAGTTGTAAAGTACTTAGAAACACATTTTTTAACTAAATGATTTTTACTTTTATCACATGTGATTACATTGCAACACATACTGCATTGAAAGTAATGATTGTTTAAATTATTATAAGAGTAAAAATTTTTTTTTAAGTGTGGGATTGAGATTAATTTGTCAATAATAATGAGATTAGGAATGTCTTTTATCTGATCTTCCTACCTCCCTCATCAATGTATGTAAAATGCTACATTTATAATCCTCGTTGCACTGTAAACTGTCAGTTCTTGTAATACCTTTCTTTCCTAGCAGAATTCTAAGTGGAGATCTATTATTAATCTTACATCAATAGATCTCTGTCTTTCAAATGATAAAACTAGTTTTTGCAAGTTATGTTTTAAATATGTGTAACAACCTAAGCAATTAAAAAATAATTTATATATGTCAAAAAATTTTTAATTTTAATAATATATGTTCTTGATATAATTTATAATATATGTAACTGATAATTTTTATGAACATTTACTGCAATAATTTAACTACTAAAAGATAAAAATGAGCTTGCTACATTTCGTTACTTATACATGTATAGATCAGTCAGCCAGATTTGTGGCTTAGTGTTGAATATCTGATAATTTAAGGGTTTTAATCTTTTATAACTTTGAACTTTGACTCATCTGATGGTCAGAAAGTTTGCGTACTTTCTTCTATTTAACCAAGAACTATATATCTTGTCAAAAATATGCAACACATCTATCTCATTGATTTGTCTGTTTTTTTTCCTTACCATATGTGTTGGAAACAGCATATTTTTATAATAAAACCTTTATAAATTATGTTTTTACCCTTGTAAATAGATCATATTACTATTGTTAGGCAAGGGAGGTGCAGGAAGTTTCATTTTTGACAGTAGGGTGGCATGACAAAAACAACTTTGTGAACCTCAATACACAAATGCAATTAAATTTTAAACACACATTTATTAAATTCTTGAATATATTATATTATTAGTAAATACTTGGGTAACTAATCAGTTATCCCTACCACATATAATACTATGCAAAATAACACTGAATATCACACCCAATTACAGCTTACACATTAAGTTAACATTCTCAAATCCTACAGTATCACAACTGCAACACTAATACTTTACTCATTTCATTTTTGAAATAAAGTGTTAACCATGGTAATTTCCTATAAGAATAAAGAATTTTGCAAGAGTAGCAATTAATTAATTTTTCAAGCAAATTTAACCCTACGATATCATATTCTAATTTCAGCAAACATTAAACTGACAACTCCAGCCTGGTTATTGAGAATAATCATTAAGGTAATTCAAAATAAGTAAAAAATACAAAATCATCATTCACTGATTCTTCCGCACCATACATTCCTTCGAGACACAGGGAAAAGTATCTTTCTTTTCGTGAATTCATCATTTAGATTTCTTAGGAACATTACAATCTTTCTACTCACAGAGAAAAGCCTCTTTCTTTTCGTGAATTCTTCACTTAGATTTCTTAGGAACATTTACAATCCTTCTACTCACAGAGAAAAGTCTCTTTCCTTTTCGCGAATTCATCTCTTAGATTCTTAGGAACATTACAATCTTTCTACTCACTGAGAAAAGTCTGTTTCCTTTTTCATGGATTCATCTCTTAGGTTTCTTGGGAACATTACAATCCTTCTACTCAGAGGGAAAAGTCTCTTTCCTTTTGATGAATTCATCTCTTAGGTTTCTTAGAAACATTACAGTCCTTCTACTCACAGAGAAAAGTCTTTTTTCTTTTCATGAATTCATCTCTTAGGTTTCTTAGGAACGTTATAATCCTTCTACTCACAGACAAAATTATCTTTCCTTTTCGTGAATTCGTCTCTTTGCGGAAGGTAGTAAATTACCTCCAAAGAACCGTTGCCGAAACCCGCACCGCGCCAGATAATCTTCACGGATTTAAAAATGATTTACCTTCAACGCTGCGTTCATAACAGCAGAGAGTTCTCAAAGAGTAAAGAAGAAGATACCAGAAGTAATCAGTGCTAACAGTTGTCGGTAAAGTACTCTTGGAAATTAGCACTTTATATTAAATCTTTCTAGAAGAAAATGCTCTTCTAGTAGCTTAGTCAATACAAATTCCGATGCCGTTTTGGGCCGAAGTCAGCCGCAGGGCGAAAGCCCTCCCTCTGCAATCCGAATCAACAGCCGGCGCTTGCGAGAGCAAGACCCGCAAGGGGTCAAAGCCCCACACTCTTTTTCCTTCTTCAAAAATCAGAATTCGAATGAATGTAACAAGTTGCAAGCCTCCCAAGAAATCTCAGTTTCTCTGGCTCTATGAGTTCATAGGCCTACAAAAATAATCAAATTAAATCTTACCAATGCCAGAATTTTACTTTATCTAAACTGTGAAAATTACACCCCCATGATGAATCAAACACCAGAAAATCTGCCAATACAGTCCAGAAAACATCTGTACTCTCAATGTGGAAACTAAAGTGGACCCCTAAACTAACAAGCGGAAACTAAGCTTTACAATCCAATTGCCTAAGCTAAAAGAAACATTGCAACTACAACAAAAGTGAAAGGAAGATGATTTTCGTTACAAACGCCATTATTAAAAGGCAACAACACAACACCCTACTGCCTCCACTGTTAGTAAAAAGGCCATAAACCAATAAACCAGGTGGCTCTTGCAACCGTCTCCTGTCTTTCTTACACTACACTTTCAAGAACTACCAGTTAAATAAGGCTTTAACAATTTAAGAGTACTTTTACGGATTAAAATAATGAGTACAAATAAAAATATTAGAATAATGAAAACTTAAAACACATATTAATAATTAAAATTCGTGACATAACATTAGGGTTTAAACTTTTTTCCTAAAAGTATCAAAATAACAAGTTTGAAGTGTAGGCATATAGAATAGTATTATTATCTAGTTAATAAATTCTAATAGTAAATTTAAAATGAATAAATCTATTAATTCAAGTATTAATAGATTTATTCATTTTAAAAATCTTAAAGGTTGAGTAATATACAAGATTCAGAATATTTTATTTATTTTGTAGCTAAACTTCGACGAATTCAGGATCATGAAACTCCTCTTATGCTTGCATTATTAAATTGTGATGAAGATAAGCAATTTGTATTGCAAGAAAATGAAACTGAAGATATTGTTGTAAGTTGTATTTTATTAATTATCTGAGTATTTTTTTATGAAATTTAAGATATTGAAAAAAGTATTTGTATTTTTTCTGTTTGTTTGGAAGAAAATTATAATTCATATTTAATTTTCGTTTCCCAGTTAAGATAAATAGTATCAACCTGAAACAAATATTTCATGAGAAATTTTTTTAATTAGGTTATCTGTTCCAATTTTTTATTATTTGAATTATTTTTCTCTTTCTCTCTTCCCCCCCTGTCTGAAGTTTGATTATATAGACATTACATTAGAGTATTATTATAAGGTTATTATAATACTCTATGCCAAATGGTATATTAAAATATATGGCTAAAATGAAGATGAATCAAAATATGGGAAGTTTAGTTATAATTTCTCATACTGCGCAAACTATCAATATGTGTAGATTAAAGTAGTAATATTTCTTTCCATATGATTCATTTACTCTTTTACCTTTAAACTGTAAAGTAGATTTTAAAGCGGCATACACAGTTGGCAGGTATTAACAAGTATCTTAATGAACTGTTCCAATTTAAATGTGCATAGCTTATTTCTGTTTATCATTAAAATGTAAAAAACCTTTCTTTTAAAAAAGTTCCTCAAAACTTTTTCTTTTTATAGTTAGACTTGCAGTTCTGCAAGAACTTAAATTGATAGAAGGTCATTTTTAATGTATACTGTGGTAATAAATTTTAGTAGTGATTAATATGAAGCGAATCTTGGTTTAGTGGTTACGATTTTCATGATTTTGCTAGGTAAATTAAGAATACCATGAACTATAAATTTCAAATAATTTTTTGTTAATGTTATATAAAAGAAACATTTTAAAGGCTAGATGATTAAATTGGAGATTTGAAATTAATTAAACTTTAATTTATTTAGTTTAGTTACTAAAAAAATGTGTGTGAATAAATCTGTTGAGTATTATGAAGCTAAATCACAACACAACAGCTGATTATAATAATTATGTGGAAGATAAAGAAGTAAAACATATAAAAAAGATTAAGTGCATAACTGAAAAAAGATTGGATTTGGAAAGCAACTGCTTTGGTGACTCCCCTCGTCTATCCATGCTGCCAGTTTTGACTTAACCGGTCATGATAGTTGGGAGTATTGCATCAGTGAGTGAATATGTACAGCTGCATTCTGGTGGGAAAATGTGTAATGTAAAAACTGATCAGCAAATCAACATCAAGTTTCTTGTGAAGCTTAAGAAATAAGCCATTTTTTCATATGTCAACCAAGGCTTTTGGAGATGAAACTTTGTTTTAAGCATGTGTATTTGAATAACATAAATGAATTTTGGAGGGGCGTGATAGTGTGGAAGATAATGAACATTCTGGGCACCCAAAATCAGCGATTACAGACCAAAACTTTGCCAAAGTTCATAAGCTTTTGCCAAAGTTCATAAGCTGATCCAGGTTGACAGAAAATTAAGTGTTCTTACAGCAAAGAAATTGGTTAACTTGAATAAGGAAACTAATCAATGCATTTTAACTGAGGAATACGCATGAGGAAAATCTGTGCGATGGTTGCTCCAAGAGTTTTGTTCAATAACCAAAAACAGTACTATTAAGACTTTTGCGTGGATATACTAGAACGCATTAGAAATGAGGAATATGCATGAGGAAAATCTGTGCGATGGTTGCTCCAAGAGTTTTGTTCAATAACCAAAACAATACTATTAAGACTTTTGCATGGATATACTAGAACACATTAGAAATGAGCCAAATTTGTTGGAATCTAATCTTTTGTAATTTGTGATGAAACATGGATTTTTACCTGATCCTGAAAGTAAGCGCCAGTCAATGCAGTGGAAATTTTCAGCATTCTCAAGACCCAAAAAAAGCACACATTTAAAAAAATTCAGTGATTGAGTGGGCTCCCTAGTGGTCAGATTGTTCTCAGCATTACTACATTGAAATACTAAAAAGGCTGCTTGAAAAAATTAAGAAAAGAAGGACACAGCTGTGTAGTGATGGATGGCTGTTGCACCAGGACAATGCACCCATCTGCATCGAGTAGTTTATGGCCAGCAAAACATTACTATGATAAAGCATCCATCTTATTTACCCTGTGACTTTTTTTTATTTCCTAAAGTTAAATCTTGTGTTGTAATGAGAACCCATTTTACTTCAGTTATAAAGATGTTCATGTGAAAATGGAGAATCTCCTGAAGGCTCTTTTAGAAACATCATTCCAAGAATCTTACTAGTAATGGCGGCACCAAATGCAGAAGTATGTGAATGATGAAGGGTATTGCTTTAAAGGGGATACATCACAAAGAACTAATTCTGTAAATACACTGATTTTTTGGAATAATCTCTGTCTTTCTTTTCTTTTTTTACCCATTTGTTTATTTTATATGTGTGTGTCATATTTTGTAAGTGCCTATTTCTTATTATCTTCTGTAAATGTTAAAATTGATGGCTGCAGCAGGATTGTGGAAACTGATGAAACTTAGCACTACTACACCGAAGTAGAAATGATTCATGAAAAGAAGAAAAAATGATGCAGGCCATGTTATTTCGTAGAATGTTTCGGTTTGAAATATATGCCAAGCAGATACGCAGCTATGGAGCTACAAATTTATGCTAAAATAATTGTTTCTTCAATAACATGGTATTTTATTCAATGCCAAAGTGAAATTAAGAATTGGAACTCTCCTCATGGTTTATTATAGAAGGGAAAATATCAAGTGTGCATGCGTAAAGCATACAAAAGAAAAAAAGTTGTTGGTGGCTTTGAGGTCCGGATTTTAGATCATTCCGAATATTGGATGTCAGGATCCCGGACTTTCTCCTGTATTCACTTTCTGCTTGCAGGAAACAATACACCAGCAGAAATCTACCATTTATTTGATATGAATGCAATGAGTGCTTGCAAAATACATGTGTGAGTGAAACTATTTAAGAAAGCGTGAGAAAATGTGTATGAGAAATTAAGCTTAGGTCATCTGTCTGTCTGTAATCACTAATAATCTTGTGCCTGCAATAAACATTGATTTTTGAAAACGGATAATTCACAATTTTTATGCAATCAGTTAATTTTCCTAAAGTTTAACTGTTAATTTTTTACAAAATTGTATCAGGAAATATACAAAATTGTATCAAAGAATATAATATATGGGAAATTGTGCACTTGGTGGATTCTTAGGATATTTATCCCAAAACACAAATATTCTGACAGTAGCCAGTGCTATGACATCTTTGTTCCAATATCACGAGGAAAATGGTGAATTGTTGAGCAGTATTGTGATGGGGGACAAAGTGTATGTGCTTCACATAATCCCTTAATCTAAGCAGCAGATGCTGAAGTTGCAGCGCACATCATTTTCATTGAGAGTAAAATCCAGCTAGCAATTTCAACTTGCTAGGTTATAACATTTATGTTCTGGTAGAGATACAGGGTTTTGTTGATGGACTTTATGCTATAAGCGAAAACAATTTTTGAGTCTTGCAGTGTTATTTGTTAACAGTATTAACAAATAATTCTGTGAGACTTCCAGATACAGTATCATGCCATCTGGAATAAGCAGTATGGCATGCTGTCTGCTGGAGTTCCTTCATAATAATGCAAGGTCCCAAAATGCTGCTTATTTGTCAGTTGGTCTTTTACCTTGTATGCAGTTCAGACTTTGTTCCAACAGATTGCCACATATTGTACCTGGAACATTTCTTTACTGGCAAGCAAATCAAAACTGAAGACTAAAACATTTCAAGAATGATTTTCCTTTCAGGCAGCAAAGGTCTATAAAAACTTATCTCATGTTAAGATAAATGTTTGAACAATAATGGAACATGTATGAAAGAGGAGCTGGAGGTGTGTATACTTTGGGGGAAGGTGTGTGTATGTGTGTGAAATAAGCTGCATTATGAGGCCTTACTATGAAAACACCCCTAATAGATAGGAAGTTAACGAATGAAGTTAGATGGAGATGGACTAGTAGTATGGCTGTGTTCTGTGTGGAGTGAAGTGTTGTTGTCTAACAGATAATAAGTAATTTTTCCAAGTATTGACTCTTAAAATTTACAGGAACTTTTATTTATATTTCATAGCTGAATATGATCATGGTTTTATTTTGCATTATTGTTATTTCATTCTAATTTATTTAATATTCTCATAGTGCTGGCAGTCTTTTGCAAAATATGTTAAATAGCTAGCTGAAATTATTTATCATTAATTAAAAATTGTGTTTACAAAAAATACAAACACTATAGTGTATTTTATAATTTTTAAATATTTTTAATGTGTATGCCATTTGCTAAAATTAACATTGTGAGCAGTTATTTTTGTTTAATACATTTTTCACTCATAAATTGCACTTTACATTTCTAAAAATCATATTCTGCTTTAAAAAAAAGTAAAAATTTTGCAAACATCTACTGCATGTCTATTTTTAAATATTAATAAATTTGATTTCAGTGGGAACAGTTTGCAATTCCAGAACTACATAATTTTTTGAAAATCCTGGATTTGGAAGAAGAGGAATATCTAAACCAAATGAAATTAAAATATAGAATTCTGCAGGAAAAAATTCAAGAGGCTATGGACAAGTTCTCACCTTCAAGTAGGTCATTAGCGAGTTAAAACAGGAAATTCTGTTGTTAGATTCTATTCTGGAATTAAAAATGAAGCTTTCTTCTTCCAGATATAACCTGTGATTTCTGCTGATGTATAAGACAATTTTTGCCCATGTTGACATGGTCAATTTTAATGTGTTTGTGTCCCAATTTTGTTTTGTTTGAAGTTATAATAGAGAAGGAATATATATTTTAAATAAATCCTAGGTAATATATTATTGTGAAGGCATTATTGTGTTAAAATGGCAGGAGCTGAATTTTCAAATGTTTAGATGGCATTTACTCTTGACATTTGAAGCATATATATTCATAGTATCAGGAATTCCTTACTATTAAGATCTTTCCCTGTTGGTCTTTTCACGAATTTACTTCTAATCTACAATTTTATATCAAATGCTACTCATTATTGTTATTATTATTTGTTATTTTGTATCTCCTCTGGAAAATTTTTTTAATGCAGCATAAAATTTTGTTATTTTTAGAATTGTTATTTATGTAATAGTAAGATGCATTTAATCTGCATGTGAAAAAATAAAATTTGATAGTAAGCATGTAATTTTTAGAGCAAAATGCATGTAACAAATAATCTTTTAAACAAATTATAGATAATAAAAGTCTTCTATGTTAGAAGTGTTCAGAGCACATGGCAAAACTCCATCTCGAATAGCTTGGGGCATTTTGTTAAAAAATATAATTAAAAAAATGGGCATTTGTTAAAAAATATAGTGAAATATTATGGCAATACAAAATATTTTTATTACTTATGCATATGATAACAATAATTAAAATTGTTAAATCATGAGGAAAAAATACTTGTTTAATGGAAAGACTGTAATATTACTAAAAATAATATAAAAGTAGTATGATGTTGTTTATGTGCATTGAACATGATCAGTATTCCAGCAAAGTGTGCTACTACAGTGTAAAGACCAAAATCCAGATGTCCAATATCTGGAATGATATAATAGCCAAACCTCTGGACAATTAGCACTTTTTTCTTTTTTTTTGGGGGGGGATGCTAAGAATGGAGAATATCAGATGTTAGAAAAAGCAGGTATGCTGCTTCTTCAGACTAACTGAAATTCCTGCCTGTTTGTTTTTAAGCACTTGCTGAGAATCACACTGTAACGAATGGCAATATTAATGTTAGTCATGACCACATTTTCAGCCCTTTAGGAGGGGTTAGCACATTTCTCCCTGACCTAAACAAGCAGAAAAGCTCCAAAACATATTTATTAGGAGTGCAGTATTGTTCATACTAGTTTCTGTTGTTAACATTGCAACAGGGGAAGAGAAAGAATTAGGTCCAGAGGAATTTTATATCAGTTTAATGTAGCAAATTGTACTCTTCCCTTAACTTTCTTCTAGAAATATTTTAATATAAAATCTGATTTGCCGGGTATTGCAAGATCATGAGAGAATGTGTCGGCAGATATGTTTTTAAAATGCTTGGCCTAATTTAATGCTACCAAATTTCACGATGATGACAAAAACCGCAGAATCTGAAGTTTTTTTAGATGTCACAGAAATAAGTGAAATTTTCTGATTGATGGACAGTTAGGAGGAAAGCCAAATGAGGATGATATATCTAAAGTCTTACAGTCCAATGGTAATGTCAAAATCATCAATCAATTAATAGAATGGTAAATATTTTTAGTATGATTTTAAATATGAATACATTAGTAAAATAAATCTATTTTGCCTTCAAGTGACATTTTAATTTCTTGTGGTAGTGGTTCAGAAAGAAATCTTTCTTCTTTTGAAGAAAGAAATTTCCTGTTATTTTATTAGATTTTATAGAAAGGATGTGGATGCTGGTCAGATCTCAGCCATTGTAACTTTGTGACTACTATACTGTTAAGTAGGATGCAGCATCTTAAATTTACAATACTTTTAGATAGTGCATTTTAGTTATAATCAGGTCTTGTTACTAACTGTGGAATTGTAATGAGGGAAAAAGAGAGAGAGATGTATTATCTGTCTAAATGGAGTATTATTATTTAGTATAAAATTTGTTATAAGTTAGTCATGTATGAAAACTTATTCTGACGCATATTCACATGTATATTTAATGCAATTTTCAAGAAAAATGGCATTATACCTTTGTGCTTTGAACCCTTCATATCTTATATTTGTTTGCTAATCAATGTACATTTAATTCATTTTGAGTAGGGCTCAGATTTTTAGTTGTTGTACCTACAACAAAATAATGTAATGATATTTTGAATATACATTAGCTTTGATATTTTGAATATACATTTAATTTTTTTAAGAAGGGCCAAGATTTTTAGTTGTACTTGCAACAAAATAATGTTGAAGTTTTGATAGATGGTATTTGACAAATTACATATTATAATCCAAAATCTTTCAAATGCACTTTTTTTTCTTTGTTTTGCACTTATTCCTTCCATTTGGCATTTGCCCCTGAAAACATAGTTTTCATGACTATTGTTAATCTTACTTTAGTACCTGGCTCTGCAATAATCCCATGAATGCAAATGGGAAACTGAATTTTTCTCTGAAGATGTTAAAACTTTGTTACCCTGTGATCATTTGCATATGTGATACACATTAATACATACATAAATTTCAGCAATGATATCAACAAGAGTAGCTCAGCTGCAGAAAAGAAGTTAAAAAAAAAAAAAAAAAAAAAAGCGTACGGAATCCTGTTTTATGATAAAAGTTGTTTGTGTTTCATCTTTTAACCGTTAGGCATGGATTGGAGGGAAACTACTGGTGGCTGAACAGTGTTGGATATTCAAAAAAGACTAAAAACAAACTTGATAGATTTGAACTTCATAGCTTGAAGCATAATTTAACCAAATATCATAAATCCACCAACAGTTATTAGTGATGGTGGATTACCATTACAGAATATATTTTTGTCAACTTTTCTTTCTATTTAAATATATATGTGGATATAGAAAAGTCTGCAAAATTTCTAGTTGATTAATTATTCAAGCTGTGAGCGTATCAACATGGAATGGTATGATTAGAATTCATCCTCTTTTTTTGAAGAGAGATGTAAGTGAAGTCAAAAGTTCCATATGTAAATATTAAATATGTAACCAATAAACCATTCACAATATTGTTTTATAATGTTTAGAACAAGCAAAATAAATAAATAAAAATAAAGTAATAACTGATGAAATTGTACCTAAACGTGCAGCTATTTTTAGTATTCCCCCCCTTTTTCTCGTAACACTTTGGGTAACCTGAATGTTTTTATTTGGTCATAAAATATTTTGTCACTTGGTATATTTTGTTTTTTGCATTTTCTTTAATGATCTAAATATTTCATCAATGAGTGGAAGATTTTGAGCATAAAAAATAAAATAAGTAATTATGAAAAGAATAAATATTATTTAAATATAGCTCTTCGTGAGCAGATCCGAAAAGCCATGCCACTGAGGTTGTTAGTTACTAAAATTTTGCCTCTAAAGTTCTTGGCCTTACTTATAAGAACACAGCAAAGTACTGAAATGTAATTTAAAATTCTGTATAAAACTCTGTCATTAGCATTAGAATATATGCAGAAATGAAAGGCATAGTAATTCATGACTAGAAATATTGTTATGGACTTCTGTTCACATGACACAAAACGTCTTTCTCCCCTTTTTGTTTGTTGATGATAGCAGTATTTAATGATCATTGTATGATTATTCCAATAAACAAATATGTACTGCATTATCAATTAAAATTGGAGAGCATTATTAAATGCCATTTGCATAAATACAATCTTGAGACTTTCTTTCAAAAGGCAGTTTTAATGTACTGAGTGTGATTAAGCATTGCAAAGCTGGTGTAGTAATTTTCTTTTAAACTATTAGTAAACTAACCAAATATCTTATATAAATATGTTTGTTAAAAAATTGATGAGCTGGTCCCGTTGAAGATGAACATAGTAACCTTAAAACTGAATTGGAGGATATTTTGGAAAACATAGTATTCAAGAATTGTATTTCATTCATTTTTTCAGATTCAAAATGCTACTATCCACAGACATGCAGAATGGCATGGCCATACATCATGCATTTTACTTCAACATCATAAAAAAATGAGTGTTCAAACTAATGTGATATTTATACATGAAGAGTGTATGTAGAAGTTTAAAAGTATTAAAACAGCAATAAAACTTTATCAATTTGAAGAGATACAGGTCTCTCTTCTTCAGAAGCAAAATTTGACTGAATTGTTTTGCCCCTGAAGAAAAGGGATCTGTATCTGATCACTGTCAAAATTGATCAAGTTTTATTCAAAATCTATCCCAAAACAAGTTTGCTGTGACGCCTAGCTATACATTTTACATTGTTGTGTTTTTCTTCTAATATATAGCAGTTTTTTTTTTTTTTTTTTTTTTTTAACAGTCCTAAACAGAAGTAAATGTCTGCATGCAAATAATAAGGCCTTTTATGACCAGAGTTTTTTTATTTTTTTTTTATTTTTTATTGGCCTTTATTACAGAATCAGTTGAGCATAATTATTGGTACATGCAATTTAAGGTTGTAAAAAGCTCAGCTTTGCTGGTTGTTGCTTCCCATCTTTTGATGTCATGTATTTGTGACTGGAAACAAATAATTTCTGGATAATAAGATTTTAGCCAACTTCAAAGTATTTTGGTTAAATTCAGTTTCTGGAGTAGCTTAACTTGTCATTGTGAATACATAAGATCAGATTTAACAATTTGTTTCTTGTTTTTTGTTCTATAAAATGCTGATAATTTGTTATTGTTAGACTAATATAAGCTGAGTAATTAAATTATAACACAAAAGGACTATAAAAGAGTAATATCATGTTTACATTTATTTGATTTTTGGTAAGATAATCAAATATTAGTTATTTATATTACATTTTGTATTCTTAGTGGCAAGAAACATTGTTGCATGAATGTTTTTCATAGTGCAAAATATGCATGTACTTTTCTCCCTGTCAAAGATCCACCAAAGCATTTTCCGTCCTAAGTAAAACAATTATTATAAGTTACATGCCAGTTTATCAAACAAACTTTTCTATTACATACATGTAAATCATGTAGGAAATACGAGAGATAATTTTGTACAGAATAACTTTTGTACAGAATACAGAAAATCATGCAGTGTATAATCCACTGTAAAAAACTGATGTTATTATGCCTTATTTACATAATTACTGGCGCATTCCTGAGCAGTACTTATGTAACATCTTTGCTTTGCATATATTCTTTTTGCGTTTAAAATACATTTCTTAAAATTTTTTTTTATTTTGGTATGACTCTTTTTAAGTGCTCGCTGATTATTATAAATTTTGCTTAAACCTTTTCTGTTTTACAAACCATTTATTTCAACATGAATACTGATTCAGTTTGGAGTAATTATTGTGAATGATTTTGATATTCCTACTGAATGAAAAAAAAATTCATAGAGTTTTTAAGGTATAATATTTGTTTTTTAGAGAATTTTTGTCCTTAATTTTTTTAACAGTTGTAAAAGAGATTGTTATCATTGTTGTAAAAGAGATTGTTATCATTAAAGAACAGTATAAAACTTTTGGTAATTAGGTATATATGGGATTAAAATCAGAAATTTCAGATATTCTACAGTGGATACATATATTATCAGAATGATTGATATAGCAAGAGGGATCCTTATATTATTTTTTAATTAAAAGTGTTTGTGTTGGGAAAAATTATATGGGATTTTTGAAATCATATAACATTGCTACTTAATGTACAGTTTGTGTATATGTTGTATAGAAATGTAGTAATAAGAAATTAATATTCTACAAAATATGCTTCAATTTTTTTCCATAAATATTCACAGGAAATTGGTATCTTGAAGCATAAAATATTTCTATGAGTCAGTATTATTTTGATTTTTGGAATTGTTTTTATTAAACTGTGTAAATATTTTATTTAAAAATTTATCAGTGAAAATTGTGGTTATGGCAACTATATTTAATTATAAAAGTATTTATTATTTATTTTTTAGCCCTTTATTAATTTTATGTTGGATTTGAACATATTTTTATATTATTTAACTATTTTTTTTGCCGGTGAAAATTGTGATTTAAGTTGATTCCTATTGTCTGCAAATAAATTGCTTTTGTGCAACAATACTAATTTTTTTAATTATTATATTTAGAACTCATAATTGGACTTTGTGATCTTTTATGTCTATATAATAAGGAAATTGAATCATATATTAAAATTGGAATTCATACTTTATTATAAATAAAGAGCTTCATCCTTAATGACATGATTTAAAAAATTAGAAATTTTTATATTCTTGTATATTTATTGAATTATATACTAAGCTTTGTAGCTTTTTTTTTTTTTTTAATTATTGTAGGATGTCCATTAATTTTCTGTAGGTTTTGAAAACAATGCTGCTTAGAGAATTTGTTTGCTGTAACTTGTAATTTTTTATCATATATATAAAAGTTAAGGAAAAGCTATCATAGTACATCTTTTTAAATACCAAAAAAGTATGGGTTTAAAAAGAGCATTTTTAAAGAAAATGTTATGAAATCTTATGCTTAGGCCAAAATCTTGTGATTTCAGCAAATAGCAATGGGAAATGCCTTTTTTAACCAGAAGTCTGTTTAAATAAAAATTATAAATTCATTTGTTTTTCAAATTTTGAAATGTTAGCAAAGACTATGCCATATTCATCTGAAAGAAAGTGTTGAGAAAGTATGTCTTTGTTAAAAATGGTCACTTTGTTTAGTCATCAAAACTGGCAAACTTAATTATCCAGTCAGTAATATGGCAGGTTTAGTAAGGAAATACAATTAAGAGTTCTAATTGCATTGATGTGATTCACTTCTGAATTCTGTCCTGTCATAATTTTGGTATACTATACAATTACTTGACCTGCATCATATGGCAAGATTTGAAAATTATTATTGTTTTATTTAGCTACATAGAACTTGAGTATGCCCTCTGAGTAGGCCTCGATAAAAATTTATTTTAACTGATGTTTAAGCTCCTATATAAACATGTAATTATGTTGTAAAAGTTTCAGAAATCAAAACCAGATTTCATTCGCTGTATTTCTTTGTATTTTCTCAATTTCAAAGATGAAATCACAAGTATAAATATTGTGTCTAACAGATAAGAATTTTTTAATGCTACAGAGCAAAAATGGAACTGAATTTAGGTTGGTTAGAAAACAAAGATTTAATTAGCATTATAAGAAATATAATTCTATACAAAAACATAGCAGACTGAAAAGGGCAGCATGCTAATTTATTATAACTTTTTCAAAGGAATTTTAGCTATTAGAAGAATATGAAATTACAAGCTACAACAAACATCAGATTCTGTATATGTATGGGCATCCTAGAAAATTAATATTAGATAGGATTTAGGGTGCAATACTTTCTTGTCATTTTTATAATATTTTATTATGTGCACACTGTATATTTTCATTGGAGAGAAAGTTAAAATTATTTTCCATTTATATTATTTATTGAATTTTTTATTAGAATAAAAATTTATTACTTTGGAACTGTGTCTTTTTTTTTTTTTTTTTTTTAACTTTATAATACTCAATTACAACACTGCAGCTTTCTTAACTGTAATTTGACAATGGTGCATAATAAGCTATTGATGTATGCTGAAAAAACTGATAAGATGAGAAATGAATGTAAGGAAAGAGAGGGCTAAAATAAAAGAGCTTATTAATAAAATTGGAAATAGTTATGAAAATACTGACATCTGAGTAGTATCTCAAAAGTGACTTGTTATTTTTCCAGAAATTAGTACAAATTTTGATATTTCCTTATTAAATGGAAAGCAAACTTAATGCAAAATATTCTTCTACTTTATTGTTCTGTTGAGATCTCCCATAGAGGGCATTGTAGCACCCCTCAACTATGTGAGAAAAAGTTTCGATTTGAGAGAGAGTTGACGTGGGTTTTGAGAATGTAGTGTGAAGAGCTGTGTAATGCGTAATTGCTATGTAACTGTACTGTGTAATATAATGTAATTAAAATGTATTTATTTAAAATGTGGAGCAATTTTGAAGGAGCATACTTCACAATATCTGAAATCAAATTACACTGCAACTAGAAATATATAGGATGTCCTGTAATCTTGTTGTATAGGAGTTTCATACCTTACAAATTGTTCTATTGTATTGTTGGTGAGAATTTGTAAATACTAACTATGGAATGGCTGAAGAATTTAACAAGCATCAGTTGCATACGTAGTCTGCATGGCATATTTGCATACTTTTTTGGAGGGGGAGGAGGTAATTGCATTTGCATGTGCTTTAAATTTTTTCCCTGTATAGCTTGTCATATTAAATTGATGATGTTATACAAAATTTCGTAATAAACTTTTTCCTTCATATCTGCCATAGAGTCACCAAGTTCTGAACTTTGTTGGTAGGGATATTGCTGCTGGTGCCAGTTTGTAGCCCTTTTACTGTAGCTAGACCTTACAATCATAATTGTAGCAGGCTCTGTTCATTAGTAATTTAAGAGAATAGAAATTTTTATTCACTCTGTATATGTATGTGTATATATCTACAATTTTTATTTTTTACTTATTTTGCAGCATATTGCGCAAGATGTTTTCTTGACCAAAATTTTTATTACTGCTTTGCTTGATAAATTATATATATATATATATGTTAGTGGCAATGTGTGAGAAGTAGGCAGTCTATAGAGTGCCTGGCATTTTTAGGGCAAACTGTGAAATATTCAAATTAATATGCTACATATTTTCCATAGGCATTATATAGATTGATAAACCCTATTTAGGAAAAGTATTAAAAGTATTAAAAGAGGAGTCTTAAAAATGACAGAAATGTAAAATTTTTTAGGAAAACAAGGGAAAAAAAATTAACCTACTTGTTAAAACTAGGAAGGAAAGAATTTTATTTTAAATTTAATCTGTCAAGGAAAACTTAAAAAAAGAGAATCACAAAAGCATCTTCATTAAAAGTATGTAAATTAAGAAAAATATTATATTAAATAAAATACAGAATTTTCTTGCAGGGAATTTCAAGTAGCACTTCATTGATTTTGTCATACAAAAATACTTCATGGAATTTTCCATCTGACTACTGTCTTAAACCTGCCTACGTTTGATTACGTTTGGCTGCTTTTTGTGTACTAAGCAATATCAGTTAACTAAAGAGGTATTTCTGGGTCAGAAATATCTTCAATTTCAAGTAAATTCTTTGTATGTAAGAAGCAGGAAGTTTTAATTTAGGTTTTATTTGATTGTGGCAAAGCATTAGAAGGCCTCTGCCTAGAGGTGGTGAATGCCTGTGTGAAGAACTTTCTAAGGGAAACTGGTTTATTACACATGGAGAAAACTATGAAAACACCCATGCAGCCAGCCTGTTTGCCGGGATTTGAACCCCGGACTGAACTACCAATGTTCAACAACTTTACCACTCGTCTGCTGATGGGCAAGAAGCAAGAGAACATTTCTTGACATAATTCATTTTCATATTTTAGAATTGATTTTCCTTAAACAGCATTCTCAGTTTTGAAACAAAAGAATGCTCAAAATATCCATTTTGTCATCTCCATCATCTTTACTGCAGACTAATGAATTTTTCAGCAACATTTTCTACATGTATGTGCATCACTGGTTTCTTTGAAACAAAAACAGATATCAAAAATGGAAGCTTCTTCAGTGAACAGGTTTTCATAGCCATATTAATTTCTTCTGTCACTGATTACATTCTCATTCATGTTCTGTGCCGTAGGGGATTTTTTTCAATAGGGCAATTGTTTTCCTGTACCATTTGAATACTTTGTCATTTTTTCCTGATGTTTCTCTGCCTATATACTATTTTACAGCATATCTTAGAGTAGGGGTAGGGAAAATTTGTGAAACCCACTTTTCAATCAAAGGGAGCTTCATTTGATATTTTTTTATTCCAGAATGATAAGCTGTATTCTTTAAAAGTGGAATGAAATATATTCTCTCACTCCAGTGATCAGTTTTGCATTTTACATCCAAGTACAGAGCATATTTTCAATATTTTTAGTTCTTTTAACACTGCTATGGCTTTGTGAGTATCGAGGTTAGACATGGACAGTCTTCAATATCATTACTGTTTTCTGCAGAATGGATGGTGCCCCAAGCAACGAGAATATATTTACCAGGTTGTATACTAGTTCTGAGCCTTGAGAACCATGAAAATTCATGTTCTCTGTAAAGTTGGGACTGAAATCCATGCGATCAGTCTAATTAAAAAAAAAAAAAAAATAACTACATGCTTTACAACTATCCTTTTTTTTTTTTTTTTTTTTCTAAACCTGCCATGGCTTATAAAAAGAATGCACACTTTAGTATTATGATGAGTTCTTGTATTTAAGAGAAATTTTTCTTTACTTTATTGCAGTGTAAAGGACCACAATCTTTTTAAGAATTGTATATAAGTTTTCTCTTGGACTGCAAATAATACTCTGAGCCACATGTGACCTGTAAGTTGAGTATGGATGGACTTCAGTCTTACCTGAACAAATTCAAAGTAGCAAATTTTTCCACTTCCGAAGAAAGATTGAAATATAGATGGTGAGTTCTCCATTTGAGGCGAATGTCAAGTTATTAACATTAGATGCATCATTAGTGGAAATATTTTGCACTTTGGCAGTATATCTTTTGACCTAAGAATATGATAGATAGTAGTAATAATTTCATACTTTGATGTCCAATTTTCAGCATTCTATATACAGTACAAAGTTCAAAATCCGGACTCGTCGGGACTTTGGCGATTCTGAATTTGGGATTTTTCCAAATATTAGATCATCATTTAAATCTAGTAAGATGGCATGTAGAAATTATAAAATTAAAAATATCCATCGACTTCAACTGATCTTCCAGAACGTGGTGCATCTTCAAGAAGAAAACTGCCAGATCTAAATTTTACAAACCAGTTTTGGCACTGGTGTCCTGTGGTCTTCTCCGTACACATCGGACAATTCCTTTCTTGCTGGTACAGCATTTTTACCTTTTCGATAGTAGAAAAATAAAATATGCGGAAATGGTGCTTTTCACTTTCCATATTTGAAAGAGCTCCAACCAAAAACTACAGTGTAGAATCAATCGAATTTTTTCACAAACAAGCCTTGCGATATCAGCTGTCAAAATATATAATGGCTTAAGTGTGAATTTGGCTGTGAAAAAATACAATTAAGCCTACTGGTGGATAAAAAGTGAAATTATTTTCTGAACAACCCAATAGTTTGGTGATTTTATGCTGTGCAAATTGAGAATTTGATGTCTCGATCAATTTTTCAGTATATAGAAACCAGGATAGCAGATAAATTTCTATATATTGGACTTTAAACGCTTGTGAGTTGTGTTTGAACGCGTTGCATGGATCCGAGAAGAGTTCATCATCTGCAGATAGAGCTAAGTTACTTAACACTGATAAACAGTGTCAGATGGCATCGATTATCTGATAAACTCCGTAAAGAGATAGTAACAAGCCAATTCGTACTGTGCAGCATGTGGAACCATAGTTTCTAGGTCAATGTTTATATGATTCTTCTGTGGTGGATGGCCAGCAGTCTGTAACTAATCATGCCTGCCTGTAGGAAGTTAATCTATGGTTCTCAAAGCATTATAGCGAATTATTGTCGAGCGGTTATGTGCTACAATTAACATTATCATGAAGCTGTATTACTATTATTTTATTATTTAACCCCTTCGCGCCGACTGTCACGTATACGTGACAGCAACGAACACACTTATCTACCGGCCGACACGCAGGCGCGCCAGAGGATTGTTGCGTTCTCTACCGACTGTCACATATTTGTGCCAGTACCTTGGAACGTTTTTCAAACTATGGTTTCAGATACATGTACATTAGACCTTCTACTGGATATGAGAGAAGCATGACTCACATACACGTGTTTTTGATTATATAAACAAGCGGGGAACTAAATGTTTCCGAATGGCGTGATTTATGACGTCTCTTTAAATCGCACTTTATTCGCACGTGGTTGTTGTTTATTGTAAGTAGAAGTTTTATATGCGCTAAAGCGTTGAGTATTTCCGTTTACAGTTCAGTTTTTAGAAAATAATTAGATCTTGTTAGACGTGAATTCTTTCTGTTTTTACCGTTTCAATGTCGAAGCGTCAAAAATGTTTAACAGAGCATGAAATAGCAGAAATGATGCAAAATATTTCAGATATTGATTCTGAAATTCTGATAGATTAACTGAAAGACATTTTCCAAAACTTTGTTCAGAAGAGACTGATAAGAAAATAAGACGACGATGCTTCGTTTGTTCACATTCCCGGAAAAATCCTCCAAAACGGCAAATGAGTTATTACGAGTTCAAGGAATGTAACGTAGGACTGTGTGTAGATCCCTGTTTTAAAATTTTTCATACGAAAAGAGAATTTTAAGTAATGTATTTAGTTTCAGATGTATAATGTTTAAAAGTCATAAAATGGTGAGTAATTAAAATAAAATGTGTAAAATATGCATTTAAACAAGAAATAAGGTAATTAAAGTATATATATAAAAAATATCTATAAAGCATAAGCCGTTTTTTAAATACTCTATAGAACATTATTAAACAATGCGTTGATACTTCGGAAATTTCATGGATTTAGGCTTAGTAGGAAAAAAGCCCCGGCCCTGGAGAGAGAGACGCTCGCGGAAGACACTGCCGGCCTCCGCGATAAGCGCATGCGTTTTCGCTACCCGGCTCGAAGGGGTTAAGGAAAAAGTGGAATGGAAAAAGAAGAGCTTTTTTTAATAAAAATGCAGAATTTTTTCAAAAAATTTATAAAAATTATTTAAAAATACAATTTTTTTTTTTAAATGAGCGAATTATGTTTGGATTAAGCGTAAATTTCGAAATATGAAAGAAAGAATCAAATAAGTTTAATAAAAAAGAGATATATTAATAAATATATATCAAATTGAATTGATATTGAGGAGCTAAATATTGACAGTTAATTTTGTGTTAAATACCTATATTAGAACAATGCTATATATAAATCTAATACATATCCTGTCAACGTTGTTTTTGGTTTTTAGTTCCAGATTTTAGATCATTTCAAACATTGTACTGCATTTCCTAAGCACTGAACACAGCCTGCTTTCATATATTGTTGGTAACATACACATACATACAAGTGTGTGTGTTTTTTCTTTTCCCCCACTTTTTGTGGAAGCCCCTTTTTATGGAATTTGTTGTTTGATCTGTGCAGTTTTATGCCATATGGCCCATGGAAAACTTATATGGTGCCTCTTTCACTTCAGATGCTAATTTTGTTTTATGATTAATCTAGCCCTGCTTTTAAAGTCTATAACTATACAAGTTTTAGTAGAATCAGTTAGTCAGTAGCTATATAGATATATTAAACTAATTCTACTTCAATATATGTTTAGATTTAGTAATCAAATTAGAATATCAGGGTAACAAAATGTATTCATTCTCAATTGTTGAAAGTTAAGACTGTTTTACAGATAAAGAAGTTCAGATAAATATTAAAAAACTATTGAAGTTTAAATATTGTATGTATTACAGTTGTCTTTCACCATACTCACATTAAAATACAGTTTTATGCCACAAAATGTGCATATTTATAATCATTGTTAGACTAACTATGTTAACTTAGGTAAATATTAGACTGTAGTAATATTCAATTTTTTTTCTGTCATTATAAGTAGAATATGCTAATTAAACTTCAAAACTCATTATCCTTTGAAAGACAATGTACTAATCTTCTATAAAACTGCAATGCATTTGTAATGTTTTACCTTGATTTTAGGTATTAGTTAAAATATCTTATTTCAGTTAATTCTAAAGTGCAGTATTTCAAAATATGAAGTCACATAAACAAAAATAAGATATTTTTCTTTCTTAATTTTCTGATTACCAATTTGCAAAGAACAGACAAGTTATTAAAAAGTCATGTATGATGTGATGATACGCCATTTTAATGCAGGAAACCATTTGAGCAAATTACAGAATCTATAAACCAATACCATAATAAAAATATGCTATAAATATTTTACAAAGTCTTCAAGGTTGTACAAAAAGCAGGTGTACGATTCTTAGCACACACCATTTCCACATTCTAGAGGAAACTTTAAATTTATCTTTTCTCTCTATACATAACCTTACATATTTTGTCTTTTTAAATCTCTCTACTTTCCTCTAGTTTGCAGAAGGGCAAAAATGAAAGGAAAGGAATAGCACATCACGTATAAACAAAAACACTCACACACACATGCATACAATCACACACTGATTTTTTTTTTTTCTTTATCTGATGAAAGTGAATACAAAATCTATAAACATTTATGAGACTGATTCAGGTTCACAGAGCTAGTGCTTTACCACTTTCAATATATATTTACTGTTGTTTAAATACTTTGTAAGCACCAAATAATTCATGAATAAAGTTTTGTTGCAACAGTCTGTTTCCAAGTGTAGAGTTCATATGAGCCAGTATTAGAAATATAATCTTCTGGATTAACTTTTTTCATACTTTTGGCTGACTGCCTATATTTCATTATTATAGCTCCTATTACTTTCAAGTGCTCTTCTGAAATATATATTAGTTAAAAATTTTACATGTGTTACTGAAGAATGCCCTGAAAATAGTATTGACCATCTACCAGCCAAAGATCTGATAAATTAATTCAGAGTCCTGAATTTATAATATATCTGTTTGTAAAAACATATATTATTAGTAAGAAAGCATGCTGAAATGTCTTGTAAATTTAATAAATATATATTAAAAAAGAACTACAGAAAACTTAATAGTGCTATAATAAATGTTGTCATGTAAGTGTAATAAAAGCTGACAAAAATTTAAAGACCTAGCAAACTAAACACACTGGAACATATTTTACTTTAATTGATTTTTTCTACCATTTATCCAAACAAGACAAAAAATAAATGGCAATAGCTCTATGAATACTTACTTTTTATTTTAAAACTGCCATAAGGGCCCCCAAAAATTGATATAACCAGAATCATTCAAAAACTTCACAATATCTTTTTGATCACAGAACACAATGGAACAAAGTCAAGCATTTTATAAACAGACTCAGCAGTCTGATGGAAAAACACCCAAGTGCATAAACACAGCTGACATGGTGCTGTTTCCAACTTCTGGAGGCTATTTAAATTGTAGCACCTCCTCGCTAAAAATGGTTCAAAACACTGGAAAAACTGGATTTAACATGAATGCAAATAAATAACTTACAAAGCTGAAGAAAGCATGCTTATTACAGCAGAAAGTTCATAAATAATTTTCATGCAATGTACAAGTGAAGCTTATAAATGTGCATACACTTCCAAAATTTAAATTATTATTAACTTTGATCATAAGAATTTACCAGTGTTTTGAACTTGATCTTTAGCATATAGGTTATGTACATTATGATATTTTAATTTCATTAAAAAACTGTGCATGGCATGCCCACAGTTTTTTTTTTATGTACATATACAAAGGGTTTACACAATTAGCATTTTTATGGATACATGAAGATACAATAAATGTATTCACAGTTTGTTCCTTACATCGAATTGTTTGATTTAAGTACATAAAAGTGTTACTTAATTTTATTTTTTACAAGTTTTGTTGTGCAGTTCCACAACAATACATTTAAATATATATATATATATATATAATATATTCCTCTTCCATTTGTTCTTAGATTTTTATTACAATAATATTTATCTTTCAATTATATTCTTAAGTGTCTCTTTCTGTTTTAAATCATTACTTAAAAAGTTTTAATATGCTTTTCTCCACTAAATTTTGTAAATCATGAAATCCTAGCCATTTTTTATCCAGCTTTGGAAAATATTATGTTTGCTTAAGAGGAAAAAAAAAAAAAAAAAATCGTGTTCTTCGAGCAATTTGGCAGTATAATACTGTTTATTTAAAGAAATGATCCCATTAAATATGAATTTCTATGCCAAGCTTTACACTTAAAATGGAAACAAAATGATGCTAATAAAGTGGAGATTAAACTAATATTTTAGAATTGGACGGGTATGACAGACAGTAAGCAGCACATGCAGATAATTCTGGAACAAAAAATAAAAAGTCAATTATAAAATTTTCATAATCCCCAATTTATTTATTGTATATAATAATTTTTATTTCTATAAATTTTTAATACTTAAAATTATACTTTAATACAATGTTTTTTTTAAATTATATGGTTTTAAAAAAAACTTACAATTATAAAAATGAAATAAGCAATCATTAACTCAAAAAAGTGTTAAAAATTAAGTCTAAACAGCAAATATTAAAATTCTGATTAAAAATGGCTTATACATCAAGTTCTTCACCAGCTAAAAAATGAATAAACTGTAATGGAATGAATGTACAAATGTGTGCAACACCAATACATATTAAATTTCCAGAGAAAAGGCGCGATGCACACAGCTCATTTTTTTATGTAAATTCTTAAAAGCATGAAATATATAGAAATGAAAATCAAAAAACACTTTTACACTTTCAACAACTAGATTCTTAAACATGCACAAGCTCTTTAAAACTGCCAGAGCAAAATAAGCTCTCATAGGAATTTTTTTTTCTTTTCTTTGTAATAATGAATGTGGACAGAGTGCCTTTGAAAAATGTTTTCACTGAGTTACACACAAACAACACTGATGAATTTGATTATCTATAAAATATGGAACAAGAGCCAATGACCATAAATTACATAAACATCTATGCACAAGCTGACATTTGTGTACACATTTTCCTAGCTCAAGAGGTAGCTGTGCACAGCACCAGGTCAGCTCCTATCCTTGAAATATTTTTCTTTTTTAATTTTGTACACTACAGAGAGTATCACAGTGCAGCAAGATTTTTTTTTTTTTGTTAACGACATTAGTATTGACCGACCACAAACTAAGTGGCATTACAAGCTCGTGCCATTCGTTCTCATCGGCAATCCAGACAGCATTTATGATTGTAGCCATGTATACGGAGGAGTGCTTCGTACACATCGTCATCCAGGCGAGAGCCGGACTTTCCGTCGTGCCGAGGACCCTCAGATTTATTTTGTTTTATTAGCAGTCTATTCATATAATAGTCCTGATTATCTATGGGTCGATGAAATGATGCAACTCCACAGAAAACAAAAGCTCGGCCAGCACATGCATCACAGTCAAAAAATAAAAAGGAACTATGGAAAAAAAATGACAGAAAAAGCAAAATTTCAGCTGGAAGACAAGAAAGAAGTGGCATCAGATGCTGAGACAAATGGCATAGTATATCGCAGGTGGGATTCAGGAATTCACGCAGGGTTTCAAAATAAATTTCGAAGCAGGCTTTTCGGAGTCAGATGCCCGCAATCGGATAGCTCGGGACGAAGCAATGCAAGGCACTGATATAATGGCTGATATACATTAACTTGATGTTTCTTTCTTCAGTGATAGGCTGAATTTCTTATCCACTCAGCCATGCTAATAGAGCAACACAACATAATGTCAAATGCCATCTTCCATGACAGACAAAGAATGTATATACTTCTTGATCTATGGAGCACCATTAGCTGCTTAAGACACCGATTTCTTCTTAGAAAATTTCAGTTCCTAAATAAATTGCACACATGTCTGAAAAGTAGTAAAATTCTTACATATTTATACTTTATCTGAAGATAAAAAGTCATGATAAAAGTACCTGTGCGATGATGTCCCAAGTAAATCGTTTATAAGAGAAAAAAGTTCAACATCAATATGCAGAAGTTTGACACTTATACAAATTCCTCACTGAAAGAGGAAACGATCACTACTGTTAAGCAGATCCCAGCAGTAAATGTTTTCATCATTTGTAATTTTTCTTTATGGATGTTTAATATACATTTGCGAAAAATCCCACTTCATAACTGCAAATGTCCATACACTGATATTCCTAGAAAGCTTATTGCCTAGGATTGCTTTCAGGTATGTGGGGAAAAATGGAATGTTATATGACTATCAGTGTTGGCATAGGTCATGCTTCCGATTCTCCGCTCATAATAGACAGAACTTGGGCCAGTTTCCAAGGTAGTTTGTTTTTAGTTGAGAATTCATCTTCCTCTAAAGTTTGCATCAGCTGAAAAATAAATTTTTAAACATTAATAAATAATAATTTCCATAAAAAAGGATAATAGCATGAAAAATAAATTATAAAAACATTTTTCAATCAAAAGCTTTCATATGAGAAACCTTTGAAAAGAAACTGCATAAACTTTTAAGTTAATAATTATAGAAACACGTGCCTCGTCTATTACACATTAAATATGCACACAATGTGGTATATTGCCATTTCTCACAACAGTTGTCAATCTTGCGCCAAATATTTAATTTATCTGAAAGTATATTAAATATATAGTATCACAAATTATGGCAGTTAAAAATACATTTATAGTCTTTTTTCATTTTGACTTTAGTCTTTAATAATATATTTATTTGATATAATATATCTAAATAATAGTTTGTATAAATATTTACATCATAAGTGTATAGTTCATCACAAGGCATCTTTAAAATACTATTATATTATTTAAATATGGAAAAGTATACGACAGCTATCTGCATAAGGGGGGTGCCTTTGTGGAGGACTTTTTACAGGAAATGGTCTTCTACTCACATTATACATGGAGAAAAACAATCATGTAGACAACCTGTTCGCCTGGGTATGAACCAAGGTCAAAATTCAGGGGGTCTTAACTACTCAGTCACTAAGTGGGGCTTCAGCTATAGAATTAAAGTTTTTTTTTTTTTTTTTTTTTTTTTTTTTTGTTAAAATCATTTTTGCATTAAAATAATTCCCATGAAATCCATTGCATAAAATTGCATGGAGTACATTAAAAATGCATTTATACTAACTGAGAATAAGTTAATTGCTAATATGAAACATGCTTCATAAGTTACTTTCATTTCTAATATATGCACTACCATCAACTACAAGCAATCCATTTTAAATAATTTACAATGACAATAAAGTGTATAATAACTTGAAAAATGACTTAATTTGATTTTCATGTACAGAAACTTCAGTTGTACACTGCAGCATTCAAAGGGATATCACGGCAACCAGCAAAAACTGTGAACAATACTGCTTATATCTGATAGTTAAGACCTGACTGCAGCAATGTTAACAAAATTTAGCACAGCAGCCACGAATTCTTTTGGAACTTGTACACAGCAATGTTCCTTTTTTTTCCAGTGTGGTCATAAAAGGTCCATTAAAGTGTCTCTGCATTCGCCATGGCACAAGATACTGCATTTTGCTTACACTCACGAATACTATGAATTCTAGAATGCGATGGTAGATATACCATAATTAGATCATGAATATATAAATATAGTGTGCAATATAAACTTCACATTTATTACTGTCTTTCTTACTGACGACAGCCCTCCTCATTAACGAAGAACCAGGAAAGGAATTTTAGAAAACAAATGATCATCTTGATGAACATATTTGATATTGTATAGTTCAAAGCAGAGGAAAACTGGTTAATTACAAAAGAATATAAATTTATCTACCTCAATCTGACAGAGAAATTACCTAAAAACAAAGTAGATCTAATGTATTCCCTAAAGTTGAGAAAAATTTGGATATTTTGATGAAATTTTTCAATATCTTTTTCCAATATATCTAATATTTGAAATATATCTAATATATTTCTAATATTATATATTTTCTAATATATCAATATATCTAATATTTGAATAATAAATTGATGAAATTTTTCAATATCTTTTTCCAAAAACAACTCAATTATGTCTTTAAAATTAAGAGTGCTTCAGGATCTCCCTACACTATACAAGGATTTACTTAATAAAATAAGAAAATAACTGCCTCCGCTACTTTCCCATGACATTTCCAACCATGGGTTGTTACACAAATCTAAATCCTTGTGATGTCCCCTACCTCCCCTTAAAGTTTGTCCCAATAAACACCCTGTATACAGTGTAAATTGCATTATTATAGTTGCTTTGTACACATGCACTGGGATGCTAATCATTAGCATATCCCAGCATGTGATACCTTTTATGTAAATTTTTCATTTGTTGCATGTCACCTTCATGGTGTAGTAATTTTAATGGCCTGCACTGTATGTACATATATAACTCTCATTTTTTCTTTCAAGCTAATCCCCCTCCCTCCAAATGAAAGCTTTTGGATTTTACATTTACGCCCAAAGGGGCGTTTTCTCAATGTTTTGTGCGTTACCTTTATTTATTAAATATCATATTCTTTGCACTAAAACCATAAAGTTGAATTAAACAGCACTATCACAAAATAATTTTAAAATGAGCATATCTTTAGAATTTCCGATACACAGTCTCGCACGCTGGAGATAAAAATGTCCACCCTCTCTGTACAGTGTTGCCATTCCTCGCTTTGAAATCGTTGGTTTCTAGATGCTCATACTTGGTGGAGGATTACGTTATTCAAAATTTGATGGCTCTAGGTACCGCCGTTTTATCACAATACAAGAAACATACATACATTTATGCTGATTCTTCATTATTTAATTTCTTTAAATATAATATAGGGCTGTAATATTTGGTGGCAACAGTTTGAAAAATGAAACGGACATTTCAAATTTTCAATGCAAAATGCCAAAACCAAATAAACAGCCCTTCTTTGCCAGTGTCCTTTGGGCTAATAAAGTAAATTCAGACCAAAATTTATGTATTTTAATACCAGTTACTCTTATATATAATTTGCTTATAACAGTACCAACAAAACAAAGAAATAAAATAACATTTACTCTAAAATATGGTATGTGGGTACTTTTAAGACTTAAAAGAATGAGAATTTACTGATTTTACAGTTTAAAAGTGTTCTAAAATTCAGATTTTTATGAATTTGCTTTGTGCAGACAAAATTACGGTTTTTACTTTATTAAATTTTGATCTGCTGAAAAATCTATTCCCCATTAAAAAGCATACATAAATTCACATACCTGCTCATTGTACTTGACAGCATAAGCATATAGGTCATATAATGCCACATTAGTGTTGAATTCATGTGCATGAAGCTGCAAAAAAGATAATAAATATAAAAGAGATTTAAAATAATTTTGTTTAATAAACACAAAACAGTTTGAAAAAGTATAGTAATCGCACATTTTCAATATTTAAGAATTAAAGACTTACCCTTGATTCTTCGGCTAACATGGCATTCATATCTTGATCACTGATTGCTGCCATATTTTTTATATCTCTATAATACCTACAATTATAATGAAATGTGCCATTTTAAGTCTTATATGTACTGAAATTTTATTAGTTATATATAAAGCACTAGAATTTTATTATCAATTTATGAAAAAGAGAACAAAAGATCACCTTTCAACCCAATCTTTATAAACTGGAATATCCTTGGCATATAAGAGTTTACTACTTGGAGAATCTTTACCAAGTCTGTGATCAGATGTTGAGCATGCATCCATAAATGTTTGTGCTACTACAGATAAACATGAGTCAACAATATTTGATTTGTGAATGTCGAAAACAAAGTTAGGATTCTTTATCAGATTCACCCAGAATCTGAGAGGAAGACTGAAATAAGAACATTTTGAAATGTTAGTATTGCTGTTATCTCAAAAAAAAGTTAAAAATATGAAATAATATTTTCATTATATTTCAGAATTAGAATTATGCAACCAAACTATGTATATTTAAAAAGGTAAAAAGATATAGGTAAGAATCCATCTCAAATACATTTTCAATTTATAAAAATTTTTAAATTATCAAGACATTATTTAACTTTCATCAAATTAAATTTTAAGAAACTACAGAAAACTAACATTGAATAAATGCTTTGATTTTCTGAAACACACTATGTACTCATTGTGAAAAGCTAAATCATTTGCTTCAATATATATAACTGTAATTCTTTATAAGAATTATTGTTCAATTTGTCACAAAGCATGGAAATTTTAATACATTTCATTAAAAAATGAAATCAATTCTTATACAGAAACTTACGATTCTTCATACAAAAACTTATCAATTCTATGTGAAAAAAGGAAGAGGGAATGCTTACAATCAAGTTCTCTTAAATGTTCATGTTAGAAAACTATTCTATGGATGAAAGGAGACACAAAATGAAGTATTGCATATTTTCTTTCTCAGCAAAAAGGTAAATGGATGCCAGTTTTCTAATATTAACTTTCATAGGACCAAAAAATGTTATCACACAATAATATTTTTATCACTTTCCCACTAAAGTAGAAAAAAGTATCAGTTATCTAACCTGTTTGACTTCCACGTGTGTACTACTTCAGGATCTGTTATCCCATGATTTAATGCCTGATCATCTAAAAAGTCAAACATGTACTTAATAGCTAATGGCAAGGCACTTCCACGGTGAGCTGTGGAAAAAATTGTTTCAAACAGATCATCTACAAACTTCTGCAAAGTGCCCTGAAAAACAAATATTGCAATGTAAATTTTACTCTCCAAATTTTTTTTTTTTTCCAGTGCTAACAAAGAACATAGCTCACAGATGCCAAAAATATCCATATAAATGAAATATTTATTCTTACCTTTGTTGCCAATAGGCGGGTTAAGTATATCTCTGAAACCATTTTATTCCCCCTTTCTCCTTCTTTTTGTTCTGCATCATGATGTCGAACCTGTAACAAAATGAAAAAGATTAATATTCATTTCACATTTATTTATGGCCTGAATTTCAAAAATTATTCTGCACCAGAAAGCCAGACATGGTTAATTTCAAACAATGAAATTCTGAAAGAAACATTAAAATTGGTTTTTTAAAATAACAAATACAAAGGGGGAAACCCTTATTTTCAATAAAGTCATGAGGTAGTAAGAGATGTTACACCTCGAAATTTAGGCTCAAACTCAAAATCACTTTGAAACTTTAGAAGCATGATCTTTAATACAGAAACTATTTTATAACTATACGATCCAATATAGATTAAACGCAAACCAATAGATACTCATAAAATGTATTCAAAATCATATACATAATAAGCATTTATGTCCTAATAATCATATCCAATGTATTTTAATTCGTAACATATTTATGACACCATGTTTTTTCTTGCCAATTTTTAACAATATTGTGACATAAATGCTCAAAATATTTTAAAATTCTCAAAGTTGAAATTTAATTCAATTTTGAAAAGCTAAGGAACTGCAGCCAAATATACTTACAAGATGCCAATATTTATAGCCACCCTCAGGGTCATGGTTCATAGGTGAAGTAGCTCGACTGAGCGGGGGACTAGTTTTTAGTGGAAAATTTAATGTTTCTAAAAATAAAGAGAAACTTATATGCATTTTACATACACACACATATAAAATTAGAAAAATAAAAATATGAATGCATTTACAAAAATTTTACTTATCACAAAGACTGACACAAATAAATAAATAAAAAATTTGAGCTAAATAATATATAAATTTTTAAGTTTTCCCCCATCCTTTCATGTGATAAAATTTACAAAGAAATTAAAAAATAATGGATTGAAAACATTATATATATTTATATTACAAGAAAGCAAATTAAAGGAAATGTATTTTGTGAATATTCTCATAAGCATTTCATGAAAGAATGAAGTCTTCATTCCTTAAGCATTTCTTAATTTTGTAAAACAGTTAGGTTCTGCATTTTAATATTAAAACATGATATATATTTTATGAACATTTCTTATTTATTATGGCAGAGGCAAGTTAGAAATAATTATCTGCTGAATTAACTGCTCAGTTTAAAATAATTCATTTCATTAGAGTAAGCCAAACAGTAATCGAATTTTGGTTTCCATGTTATTCTTATTATTACCAATATTTTCCAGGCATTCATAAAATGGCAAGACAAAAAAAAAAAAAAAAAAAAAAGGCATATGAAGTTTTTAGGATGAAATAAATGCTATATTTTGTTCCCATAAATTATATCAGTTATCCATTTTGCTACACTATTCCTTTGAAAAATAACCACTGGGAAGGAAGAAAAACTGGAAAGTATTATCAAGCAAAAATAAAACAAGTCTATGAGTTTCTGTAACTTACTTTGAAATTTTAACATAGATATGCAACTGTTAAAACTAAAAATTTAATTATGAAACAGACCACTTAATTAAGAAAAAAATTAAGCAAAATCTCATATTTCAATTCTAAGAATAAGACCTTACATAAAGCTGAAGATGAAAGAAACGATGTTACATAGTTAATTATGAGATGCAATTGGGTATTATTGTGCTAGTCAGCAATCAGGATGTAGAGATGCATTTATATCACACTTATAAATCAAGTATGAGGCAATGTTTAAATATTACACATTGTTTATGTTAACTCAGGAAAATTTCACTTGAAGTTTTTTGGTAATATCAGAAAAAGGACCATTTATTAAAGCAACCGAGATTTTTTTTATCTTTATGGCAAATGAGGAACCAGTTTTTGAATGGTTAAAAGCTTTGCATCATTATTAAAGATACATCATTTTGCATTATTGCTGTTAAAACCTCTGTCTTCAGTAAATTATTCATGTTTTGTAACAACAGTTCCTTCTGAATGCTCAATAAATATATGCGGCTTCTTCAGCTACATTTATATTTTTTTTCTAATACTGAAAGAAATAATTCATGCTAAATTATTAAAATAAGACATGTTTTTAAATAGCCACAATTAAAATGAATTTCTTAAATTTTTAAGACATGTATTGTTTTATTTTATTGTCTTTTTTTATTATTATTAACTTTCACTAAAAGCAAGCTTTAATCCAATTATTTTCTGCTCTTTTAATTTATCACAAGTATGTGCAAACTTAATGTATTGAGAGATGAAGTTTGACAGGAGCATTCTAAACATGAAATAAAATATAATTAATTTACCAAAAGTTTTTTTTTTAGTAAAACAGATAAATATTATGTATTGTTTGTCTTTAGGTTATATATATATACACAAAACAACTAACGAAAGTTTAAATTATTGACCCAAATATAAAATTATAAATATCTTAACATTTCACATGCATATAGTCAATCTGACACTTTTTTAGTGCAATTCTCAGTTATATTAAATATTGATGGAGAAAAAACACATATTTATTAATGCAAAGTTATACTGATTACAACATACCATATTTATGTGACTTTTCTAGCTTATCTGTCATGATGGTTATATTATACATAGATGATTGCTTTGGCACAAGAGTTAATAATGCACCATCAGGGACCTAAAAGAAATGACAGAACGAAATTTTTGATGAGAAACAAAACAGAGATACACATACATTAAACTTACATTAATATAATAAATAATAAACTATACTTTTAGTTTCAAAATTAAATTTATGCCACATAATATTATTTCATTTATAAATGCACTTAATTATAACAATAAAAAAAACTTTTTTTACATATCAATATGAAGAAAGCTACTTTTATTAAGTTTCACAAAATTTTATGATACATAAAAGATACATTTAGAGCAAGACTAATTAAACTAATCTGATTCTAAATGTCTAAAAGTTCTTTGATTACTTGGAGTTCAGTAAGTTGAATGTATGCTTAAACCGAAATTTCTTATAAGTCTCAGTCCTTTTATAACATGGGTTAAACCTTCTTACTTTGATATCTATATGCTAAAATATTCTAAAACATTTCTTCAAGCTTTGTGCTTTCAGTTTTACTGTTAAAAATGTACGATGTTTGAAGAATCGACTGATGGACAGGAGCAGTTGGCCATGAATTGTTTTAGTTGTTTTCAACTATTTTGAGCCATCTGCAATGTTTTTGCAGAGTTTTCACATTTATCAAATTTCACACATATGGAAGTAGAATAAACATGCACCTTATTTTATAAGCAACATTCTGCTTCAGACTCCAACATGACACAAATTTACACCAAAAACTGCTTAAGACAGCTTTTACTAAAAATTGTATGTGTCCAGAACACAGATGAAAATATTTTAATTTGCAAAGAATTACTGATAAAGGTATACCTGAAACATAAAAGTTTTGTATTTAACCTCTGAACAACAAAATATATTTCATTTCTGAAAAATTTACCAAGAACATCAGTTATTATAAAGCTCAATACTATGACATATATGATTATTTTTCCTTTCATTTACAAAAAGTGAATGTATTTAAGGGTTATACAAGGGCAGGATAATTTTGAAATGTTTTCTCTTTGCAGAAAATATTATTAAGTAAATAATTTTGTAATAAATAAATTTCACACTGGATAATGAATTCATGATATAAGTACATTTTCTTTTTTATTGCAAAATTTATTTAACTATAAGTATTTACACTCATGTCCATAAATTAAGGATAATGCAAAATCAGGCAAAGGAATTGTTAGAAGCAAAACAAATTTGACTTATTTGTAAAGCTTATTTATTAAACAAAAGGTAAGGAACGAAAAAAGATGCTCTATGTTTGATATTATTAAAAAAATTAGCGATTTTTTCTCCCTGGAGCAAATTACTAAAAAAAAAAAAAAAACTATTTACAAAAAAACAATATTACATGGTTGGTATGATTGTTAATACATCGTATGTCTCCCAGACGATGCAATACAGTCCGTACAAAGCCTCGGCATGCTGAGTATCAAATTATCGATCTGATCTTGGGGGCTATAACACCACTTAAAAAGCAATGCTCTCCGAAGTTCTGGTACCAGACATGTAGGAGGAGGTTGACGGGCTGCAACTCGTCGGCCAAGCATATCCCATACGTGCTCTACTGGATTCAAGTCCGGTGAGAATGCTGGCCTGTCCAAATGGGTGATATCCTCCGATTGAAGGCATTCGTTTACGATGTTTGCACGGTCAGGACAGGCGTTATCATCCATAAACACAAATTGTGCGCCCATGGCACCCCGAAACAAACATACATGTTGTTCCAGAATGATGTCCCGATAGATTTGGCTTGTCATGGTTCCAATTTGAACATGCAGGTCAGTTCTGGAAGCCAGAATAATTCCACCCCAAACAAGCACTCCTGCACCACCGTAACAGTGTTGTTCAAAGATGTTTTCTTGGTGCTAACGGGTACCTGGAGCTCTCATATGAAAGTCCGGCGAGAATCAGACTGCAAGCTAAACCTGGACTCGTCGGAAAACATCACACAAGCCCACTGTTGCGGTGTCCACAATGCTTGCTCTCTACTCCAGGCTAACCGCAGGCGACAGTGAGTTGCAGTAAGTGGAACACATCTGACAGGTCTACGAGCATATAGACCAATCTGCCCTAAATGTCTGTACACGGTCTGCCTTGAAATTGTCGTACCAGTGGCTGAAGAGAGCTAACGAGACAGGTATGAGGCTGTGCTCCGCCTGTTTCTTTTGGCAGTAACTGCCAAATACCGGTCCTCATTGGGCGTTGTAACTCTGGGGCGACCTGTGCTGTAACGTCTACTCACATTACCATCATCTTGGAATCGTTGCCAAAGCCTGGAGATGACACTCTGGGCAATCCCAAGTTCGTCTGATACTTCCTGTTGGGTACGCCCACATTCCAGACGGCCAATAATTCTACCGCGTAAAAAATCATCCAAATGCATCCTTTGTGTCATAACTATTCGGTTATTGCAGTGAAATGCTTATTAAGCACCTGCGAACAATTTTACTTCTTTACCTGCATTCCTTATATATCACTCTCGTCATTGTGACGTACCATCGGTGTAATCTGGTTACTTCCTGAAATTTGCATATGATTCTTGAAGATGTGTGTAGTTATTTTACAGGTGATATATTTATTTTAGAGTTCGATTTCTGCGTGACTCCGAATTATCCTTAATTTATGGACATGAGTGTAAAAATGTTTTCATAAAGCTATTTTACCACACTTGGTTATTACAGTATTGCCAAACTCATTCATTAAATAAATATGGGATTATCAATAAATTAAAATAAGTTTTGCTGAATCAGATTATATCAAAAATTTATATAATATAAAAATATATTATATATATTATATAATATAAAAATTATATATATATATATTTATAAAATATAATATTATCAAAAATTCACTGTTTTACGATACATATATTTGCACTTCTTTTAAAGAAAATCTTTGAGCTGATAATCCATGTAAGAAGATATTATATACTAATTTACATAATAAATAAATTGCAAGACAGTTTGGATAACACATTAATTATGGTGTAGACTAATGAACAATACTTAATGAGAATATGCATGCTGAAAAAAAGGCAATATCCTAGAGCAAGTTGAGTTTTGAGAGAACATAGTGTTGCATGTGCACGGGTTCATAATAGATTGAATGCACACAGGTCCGATGATAGTTTGATAAAATTTATTTTATCAAAAGAAGCATTTCAGTGTACTGGAACTTTCCACAGAAATACTCGTACAGGTGTTCACAGAGTACAATCAGTAGTAGCACTTCAAACTACTAAGAATGTTAAACACAATTCAGTGCAAAAGGCATCTAAAAAGTGAAGCTTTCATCGATATCTCAATACTCCGAAGCTGCTCTGAACTAATTACTCACAACAACAACTGAGAAACTGATGCTCTCTCTGGTCTTACATAGCTTTCTCCTGGATGCTGAGAAATTTCTAGCATTTTCTGCTTCTCAAAATTATTGGAAGGCATATGAGGGTCGGTAATGGTTACAGCTACGCAGAAGATCAACTAGAGTTATTCAGTTGCAATACCCATTACAGTTATACAAGGACCGTATCAGGATATCACCAATTTTGGTGACTTTTGGCAATTTCTTGCCAAATTTGAGAATAAAAATTAGTTACCAAAATCATCGCAAGCTCAGTGATATCCCGCCAATTTAACAAGATAGCTATTTACTCAATGTTAAATAGACTTGGCCCTGTAATCTTATTTTTCTGGCAAAGCATCTTTTCTGTCAAACTTCTCATAGTACATTATACAAAAAAATACAATTCCACACATAATTTCATTAAAATTATCTATTCCCATAAAATTCGTAATGATATGTAAAAAAGTGTGAAATAATTCTTATATATTTTTAATTTAAATAAAAAATTTATGAAACACAAAAAAGATGAAATACCTTATAATGTGCTAGAGTGTTAAGCCTCTTCCATTCTCCTTCAGTCTTTGTTGTAGAATCTTCATCTGAAAGAGTGAGACGCCCAGAATTTCCAGCCCTCCATTCTAAAATAAAGACATTACATATAATTAATTTAAATATTTTAGCACAACTCTTTAGACTGAGTAATAATGTTACAAAAAAAGGAGGGGGAGTAGCGGATGAAAAAGGACATAATTATGATATTTTAATCTTTTGTTTAAATTAAGTATATTAATTATTAAATACCATAACATGGTTCAGACAACTTCAGTATTAAATAATATTTCTGATCTCTCATATTTTCTTTACTCTTCTTGAAGGAAAAATTTTCCTTAGCACTTCTAAATATTTCTTGAGAAATTTATTGATAATATTACACATAACTAACATCCATTTTATTGAAGCAGATATATAAATATTTCTTGAGAAATTTATTGATAATATTACACATAACTAACATCCATTTTATTGAAGTAGATATTAAAATAACAAAACATTAACTTTTGACTATATATCACCCTTTGACGCTCTTTATAATTATTTTTAAATAAATATTATGGTTACATATTTATTCAAATAATAAATGCATAATTGTAATAAAAGAACTGATGTTTTATTTTATGTATATATGAAAATATGTTTATTTTGCTTTTTAATTTCACATCATTAAAAAAAATAGCCCATTTGAAAATTATGATTTAATCTTCAAGATTGCTGATTCATTTTAAAATAAATTTTAAAAAAGTACAATTTTATTCAGTCAGTTTTTTTTTTTTTTTTTTTTTGTAAAAAAAATTAGCAACAAAAAGCTTCATTATTTTGGTTCAAGTACGTTACACACAACAAAAATCCCTCAGCTACATTCAATTTCTTATCCTTTTTGCTAGTTGTTAATACAATATCAACCAACATATACATATCAATGCTTTTAACTTTTTTTCCTCTTTACACAAATTCAGTTGAATATTTTTTCCTATTTTGTAAACACTAAGAAATTTAAAAAATGGAATTTTCTTGGTAACTGGAGCTTTGAAAAACTAATAAAGCTATATACATATTATATATAACTTTATTAGTATATTATTAGATAAGTTTTTTAGTTTTATATTAAATATATAATTCTTATTATTAATTACATTTTCAGTTTCAATAAACAACTGCTACTTTATTTCAGAATTGATTCTTCCTAAATTTGCAATAAAACATTCAGCATTACTTAAGTAATTAATGTACATAATATTTAAATCAGTAGTTATTCTAATAAGCCATCAATGATATTTCAGCAACTTCATGAATCTGCATTTATATTATGGTAGATTAGTGTAAGCATAATATGAATATAATTTTAATTGATATTTTTACTTTAAAAAGTCTTCTTACCCTCTGTAATACTTACTTTTATTTTATAAATTAAAATCAACACTAACACAATTTATTCTTTTTTAAGATATTTTTTTATATAAAACCCGAGAAATGTTTAAATATAAAAAAATTTTATTATTTTTAAGTGTTTCAATCATTTTCCATATCTGAGAATCTTTAGATTTCTATTAGCATGCTCTTTATAATGTGATAATTCATTTTTATTTATTAATTTGAGCATTTTCAATGAAAATATTAGAATTAATTTTTACACATTGCACATTTTTCAGTAAATTTGAGAAATCAGAAATTAAAATTTTTCAGTTTTCAAGATGGAATACTAACAGCAAATGTGGAATATATTGTAAATTTTTCAAAATGCTTCTTACCTACGGTTTAATAAACCAGAAACTAGTTTACAAAATTACTTAGCAGAATAAAAATTTAACAAAGAAAATTTAACAATACATATATGCTACATAATTGCTCGGTTTAAGGACTGCATAAAAAATTCATAACCGTTTTATAATTTTTTAAGAGCAGTGCATCTCAAAAGTTTAAGAAACAGTATAATTTAGAATAAAATAGGATTGATTTATTTGTTGTAGGAAATGAATTTTACAAGTCGATATCCGAGTTCTACAAATTATACAGGTTAAACAAAACGTCTTTCTCTTACAAAACATTTTACTCAAAATAACCCTCAGAAAATAAAAATGTGAAATTTTTATCATTATGTAGGCTTTATAGTTGTAGTTTTCTTGCCATGTAGATGGTGGCACTATGGAGTAGTTAGCAGTGAAATGACATGAAGAAAGAAAAAAAAAATCTAAGTGTGTTTTGAAGTATCATGAAGCTAAATTGACCATCAATGGCAGTTAAGAAATTTATACAGATGAAATTCTCCAGATGTCAAGAACACCAGGAACAGGTATAAAATTTTTTTAAGAAATTGGAAGCATAAACCTTTTAAGATGTGGCAGGCCTACCGTGAATTGGTCATAAGTCATACCAAGGACTGAGACCATTACGCATTAGTTCAAAATACAAACATTTTATTCACAATACAAACATTTTACTAGTGCCACAAGAGCAAAAGTTGAAGAATTTGTAAGAACTGAAATACTGATCTAATACACTCTAAGCCAAAGAAGAGATAAACCTTAGAATTTACTAATGTAAGTACTGTTCTAGAAAAAAAATAACGTAGTTACCATTTCCTCCAAACCCACACATGCCTAATTATAACAGTTTTCACATAATAAATTTTGTAACCAGGAAAAGACCTTTTGTTCACCTTTACATTTTAGAATGTCTTCTACAGATTTTAAACATGTGTTATCATAAAAAAAGAAATCAATCTTAAAGTTGAAAGTTTATACAATCAACACTTTTTTAAAGGAATATTACAGAATTTTTTCCCTACTGTTGCATTTTAAGAGCACATATGCCCAACTTTGTTTTTAAAATAACAAAGCAAAAATATAACAGCCTATCAAGAAATTATTAATTGCAACTTTCAGAAGCACTTATGCACTACTGAAAATCTGATACTAATATCTTAAATCAGTGAACAAACAATTCATAAATACAAACCTAAATCTAATCCATCTTTGCTTGGCCTCTGTGAAAATTGTGTGTTCCTGTAAATAGCATCTAATGCTTTTTCTTTCACTTGAGATATTGTATCACAGTCCAAAACCTTCACTGGTGTCTCTATATTTTCACCGTGTGGTTCCAACCCTTGAGCATATGCTGTCTGAGAGGACATTGAAACATAGACAGTCTGTACAAATAAAGAAAACAGAAAAAGTAAAATGCATTGAAATATTATTCTTATTAATAATGGGGTACTCACCACTTAATTAAATATCTTATATTAGAAAATGTAATAACATGCAGCGAGAAAAAGTGAGAGTTAATTTTTTAACACTGATTGTATCACAATTTATTATTACATTTTAGTTAAAGCATAGGACAGTTTTCTGTTATATTTAGTTTAAAGTACTGCACATGTATATTATATATTTAACTAGGCCTGAAATCTGAAACATTGTGTACAGTAAAGCTTTTGATTGATTTCATGAGTTGACTTATGTTGTTAATTTTACTGCTCACTGTTATGGAAAGTTTCAGTTATGTAAAATAATTGACCCACCTATGTTTAATCTTTATTTAACATTATTTATTATTTAATTTAATTTTTTTTAATCTTATCAAATCCTAAAATTGTATATACAACTTTATTGTTGGATTTATTCTCAACTTTTTAATTATCACATTCTTATTCCCATGCAATTCATATCATAGCGAGTTTCACACATTTGCTTATTTGATTCGTTAGAGAATAAGGGACTTACTATTAATTTTATAACTTCTAAAGCAATGGTTAATGCATAAACTAAATATTAGTAATAAATTGCAATTTATGATATGTGAAAAATGTCTAATAATTAATGATTTTCATGTTATAATGATTAATTTTCACCACTTACCATACTCTTGTACTCAATGGATTGTCGAATGAGCTTCTCTTCAGACAGTGAATACCGAGCCTCACTAGTTACTGCATCCACAGGGCCTTTATCAACTTGTTGTTTAATAGCCCGATATAGCATGAATAGAGGCTCACCCGCACACTCCTATAGTTAAATATAAAATAAAATAAATATATAATTTCCAATTAACATAATATATTGACAAATTACTCATAATGTAACTCACAATATTAATACTTTTATATCAACTTTTCATAAGATACACACTGTTAATATCCATTAAAACAATTATAATTAAAATACACATAAGTTACAATTTTTATGATACCCTGGTTAATTTAAATAAAAATTAGCATCTAAGAAGTTTAAAAAAGACTCTTTATGGCTTATGCAGCTTTCAAAATCTAAGGAAATTTTTGACAGATAATTTTATTATCATACACCATTTCAGCTACAGTAAAAAATAGATCAAATTGAATTATTCATTTATAGGAAAATAAATGAAGGCTAACTATCAGAATTAGAATAAAGTCTAATTTTAATGAGAAACAGCATGGGGTAGAATCTATGACAGAAGCTAATTTATCCCCTGAGGACAAGAAAGAAGTTCTACTTAATGTTACAGTTTATTACTATGAGTATATGATAAACATATAGTAAAAGATACAAATACGGTCAAAAGTCGTTAATTCGGACACCCATAATTCGGAATGATCTATAATCCGGACCTCAAAACTAAAAACTTTCTGCGCACGCGCCGCGTTGACACATGCGCATAGGCGTTTACGTGTGCGCGTAAGACCTCTTACGACTGCGCATATGAGTGTGCGCAAGTGCAGAATACGTTTTCGCGTGCGCGTTTTATGTATAATGGACGTATAAGCTAAAATTATCTATTTAGTTAATGTTGATGATTGCGTTGTTCCTTAATTTTCGAATTGGATCCGGCTTATTATTTTTTGCAGACTGTAAGAGCAATTTTATAAAAGTAAGCTTAAACTTTCGATTATATCAAATAGAATTTCCGATATATATTTGTTAACATGTAAAGGATCTAAAGCGAAAGTATGTTTTGAAATCCGAAATCTGTTTATCAATTTAACGCTGCTCGGCGGGGGGCAACGCCGCGCGTAATGAATTGGAAGTTGATTTGTCAGCACTATCCTTATCTTGCGCAGATGTTTTCATTTGGCTTATAATTCCTTACCAAATGTAGTATTTCATCTCGATATGCTCCGTCTTTGATATGATTTAAAACAAGTTCCTCATCATTATAATTCGCTTCTGATAGCGAAGAAAAGTAACAGAGGTTGTTGAAAACGAAAAAATTTCGATTGACAAATTAGTCGGTGTTCTTGACACAGCAATTATAGGACTTGAACAGCAGAACTTTGTAATTGAACAAGAAATTATGTCTGTTTAATAGAATTAAAGAGAAAGTATTATCACATGAAACGAAGCAAAACTTAAAACAACCTTACATTGAAAGAAATGTTTAATAAAGTAAACAAATAAATATTAAGCTTTTTCTTTTTGCAAATTTTGATACCCTTTAGATCATAATTGTTCTTTATTTCATAAATTACGGTTTCATATTTTTAATTTTAGAATTTCTGCATGCCATCTTATGAGATTTAAACTGATGATCTATAATCCGGAAAAATCGATAATCCGGAATCGCCGAAGTCCCGACGAGTCCGGATTAACGACTTTTGACTGTATAACATGATATTGTGTATCAATTGGTTAAAATAATTTCAGAAAGCACAATATTTGTCTATTCATGATGAAACTCTGAAATGGTAGCAACCAATGAAATTAAATAAAACATATGACAAAACTTTAGTATAGTTTTTATATTGCTGACTTAAAAACATCATACCTAGATCTCATCTAGTAAAGAATAATTAAACAGTAAAGAGTGAAAAAGCATTCGTTTACAAAATTATGGACGGTTTTATGACTGGAAATAAGCAGGTAAAAGCAACTTAAAAAAATAATAATAATGAAAAATAAAAACCCACAGACAAAAATAAAAGAAAAAATATTAAATTTATTCATATAATACAATACAAAATGTAAGTTTAATCTCTTAAAAATTATAGTTTAAATGTAAGATTTAATACATGAATATTATGAAACACAAATATGAAACACACAAATATTATGAAAATTTATTTTCATAATATTTGTGCATTAAATATTATGAAATTTATGTGAATTTTTTAAATTAAAATTTTGAAATATTTGTGTGTTAAATATTATTAATATTTGTATTTAACTAGTAACAAAATTAATTTAGTCTCACCTTCAGGAACTTGAATAAAAGAAATGTAAACCATGCAGAGAGCATCTTTTCAGCCACAGATTCCGTCCTTTAAATAGTAATAATAATAATTATATATATATAAAGAAGTTCCATAAAAGACGGTATATTTTTCTTATTTGAAAATGCAAAACTGCATACCTTCTCAATAACAACTTCGGATGACTTTTACCTTCCATACATTTTTCAATAAGCTCAGCTAATAAAGTTTTCAGTATACTATAAAATAATTAAAATATATGTTAGTACCACAATAAATTTATAAGGTACAGAATTATACAATCAAATGTTACTACAGTTCCTCAATAATTTTTAAATCTGCACATGATAACATTTTGAAAATTAATATTTATGAAAAAGTTTATTAGCATTTAAAAAAAAAGGAAGAAATAAAGTAGAATTTTAAAATTAATAAAATATACATTGATTGGATTATTTAATTATGACAAAGCACACGACACATTGATTGGAAGACTTACAGGAAGAAACAGAAGAAAAATACTTACTCAGTGCAATATTCCATTTTCCCTTGCAAAGTGACCATGATCAAAGAGGCAACATTGACCCTATAAAATAATATATCATGCAGATTAAAAAAAAAAAGCAAATGCTGAAGCCATGAGAATAAAAATAGAATAGATCAATAGAGAGATATGTGCTTTTAATAACATTATTAGTTATTCCCATTTTTCTTAAAAAGTTTGATTATAACTTTATATGAATTTTAGAATTTTAGTCAGTATTTAAATATAGATTATATTAATTAAAATATAAATATCAAGATAAACAAACCATTTCATCTCTGTATCATTTTACAAATATTTAAATAAAGAAAATATTAAAACTCAGTCACAATTAAGATTCCAATATTTTGTCCATAATTTCCAGTAATTTGTCAAATCATGAATTTTTCAAGCAACAAATTCAAAAATGATGAATTATATTCCTTTTAGGCTATTTACTTCAAATTTTTTTAAACAGAACTCTATTCTGTTTGGTCTAAAGAAAGTATAATCTACTTTTAGAAACTTCTACCTCTTAACAAAAATTCTTACTTAAATATATATTATTTCCACTTCAACTTCTAAAACATGATGCTAACCAAGAAAATTTTTTATCTCCAAGCAATCTAATTGTGTGCACCTTCAGATAACAGAATTATACTTGTTAATTTTAAATAATACATTCATTCAAAAAAATTATTGAATTCTACGATAATATTTCTATGCTTCTAGTGATTAAAAAAATTATATTCTACATATGAAAATATGCTTAAAACAGGTCACATGGATTGTAAAGAAATGTGTGTAATCTTATTACAATTCCTTCTGCTCTTATTAATAATAAATACTTGTCATAAATTACTGAACATAAAATCGAATTCAAATATTATGTATAATATTAAAATTATACTAATCATGGAAAATAATGAAAATGATAAATAAAGAAACAGTTATTAACATCATTTTAGCCAGAACAGTTAAATTTTAATTATATATTAGTGATATTCATCATGCTAACCACATATGCCACTAGCATATTTTCTCACTATTTTATAGACTGTACTGCAAGGCAAATGCAGCTATTAATTAACTACGTATTTTATAAACAAAATTACACATACCTATCTCGCATGGAAAAATATCTATTTGATTCCAGTGTGCGAATAAATAATAGTAAAAATGTCTTATTCATAATTAATTGTCCAAAAAGACGCAGTCCCTTTTCTATATATGGTTTCTTAATGGGATCAATCTGAAATTAAAATAAAAATTTAATGAATTAAATAACGGCAAAGATACAGTATAGCACACAATTATCTATATATAACTAAAGAATGGTATATAATGCAACACATCACTTTCAAGTGAAAAGTAGAAGATAATCAGAAATTATAATAACTTTACTTGGCCATGAAACAGAAAAGTATAAACATGCATTTGATGCATGCAAATGCATGTCAGAGAATCTTGAAAATATCATTCCATCCACATAGATACACTCTTATGATAACCCTGAAAGGCATACATGTTATGTAGTAGCACATCATATGGAACTACCAAAATGTCATGATAGCTGGTAGTCTTCTCTGAGTTGTTTCCAATGGATAAGCAAATAGTTTCTCCTTCAAGTATACACAGAGGAAGTAATTCACAGATGCTAAATCTAGTAGATGGGATGGACCAAATCAAAACACTAAGTCCAGACAACTATGGAATAACACCCACAATAAAATCATAGTTGTGAAAGGCAATGCACTATCTTGTTGAAACAAATAACATACATTAGTTGACAACCCTACAATTCCTGATAGGAGGATATTTTACAATTTTTCCCCACTGAGTTTTCCAGAAAATGCATATCTGACACTTATCTTAAAATTGTATTGGCCAATAATGAAACATCTGCTTCTGCTGTAGTTTGTAATGCACAATACAAAGGTTTTTAGTAGACCAGTATCAGAAATTAAATTTACCGATGAAACCTCTGGGACGAAACTTTGCTTCACTCAACGTCACTAGGAGCTAAAGAACTTCAATCATCTTTAGAAGGATGTTAGAACATACAATATGTATGTGTTCCCTGTGTAAATGTTCCTAAACTTCTGATTGTACTTTATTAGTAACACTTTGTGAAAGTTTACAAGGACAGGAGTTCACTGAAATGTATAGTTTCCTTATAAATACTTCTAAATTTTCATGTCAAAAGGTTTTCAAAGTTTATTATATAAATTTACCTGCATATCTCTAAGTACTGAATGATCATCATTATTTGGTAACAGTACTTTCATTGCATAGGTTCTGTAATCCAAGAAAGGAATGCCACCTGTAGTTAGGTCACCTGTCAAATCTGTCATTTCTGTCTGAAGCTCAGCAAAGGCTAGGGAAAAAAATTATATAAATATAATGGTTTATAAAATGTTGCAATTAACAGGAAAGACTCACATTCTCCAAATTAATGGCTTCATTATAAATAAAAGCTTACACATGTAAAAACATGCCAGTTCCCAATAAAGAACTTATTTAATTTTATTATAGTTTGTTTACCCTCTTTGCATTCACTAGCAACACGAAGTTCTAAGACATCCATTTGCTCTTGCATGCTCTTCAATACTCGGCTGCTCTCTGTAGATTTACGGCGATAAGCGATCAAGATTATTATGACAATAACAACCAGAATACAAGCTCCAGTAATGACACCAATAATTACAGGTTTTGTTAATGTGCTATCTTGATTTGATGGTAGTTCATAGCTTAAACGGCCAATAGTAAACTTGAGATGGTCACCAACTTCAACCTGAAAGAAAATATTTTTATTATTGTAGAGAAAGACATAAATTATGGCAATATATTTACTTACAAAATTTTGTTAAGCAAAGTTTAGAAAAGACAGATGCAAAGATTTTATACACAGTATACTTTTTTTTATACAGAATATGTAAATGTTGTCGCAAATAAAACACCTACCTATCTTAATCGTAAAAAAATTTCATTAAATTTAATATTAAATACAATTTGATATTAACATTTTATGTGTCCAAAAAATTTATAACATCAATCTCACTGGCTTCACACATGTTCCTACAAAATACATGTGCTTGCATATTGTTTTGCAATCATGCACTTTTTGCCAAGAAACACTTTAAAAAAAATAATACACTATTTATTAGTATTTACAGTTGGAATGCTATGCAGTGTCTATATGACCACTAAAAAAGGTAACATATTATAAGCTTCATTTTCTGTATCAGCATTTTTCAATCAGTGATCCTAAAAGGTCTGCAAAGAAGACAAAAAATAAAATTCAAATTAACTGCATATATCACACATTGTTGAAAATTGTACAGTTTAAAAATTATGCATGGAAATCATCTACCACTTTATCTCCCATGATTGACATTTTACGAAATCTATTACCGATTATCCTACCTATGAATGTTTCTGAACACAGACCAGCTAATTAAGAATTGGTAGACTTATCTATCTCATTAATCTGCACACCAACATTTTTCTAAATTTTAAGTTAATAAGCTAAAGATTATCCAAACTCTAATAGCATTGAACTACTAAAAAATTTGCTTCCATTAATTTAATACCATTATTAAATTAATTTTAATTAATGGTATTTAAAAATATAAAAACTCCTTTTAAAAAGCACAAGAGTGAGGTGGTGCATAGAATATAAAAAGTTATAAAAATGGTCTCCACTTGAAAAACTTTTGAGAAATGCTATTGTATATTATTAACAAATTAATTAATTAATTAATATTAATGACAAATAATGCATTACAATTCAACTACATCTGAAGATCTGATATGACATTATCAGTGTTAAGAAAACTGTATTTTCAATTGAAACTTTATAGTGTTTTAATTTAACTACTTGATATAAAGTAAACTTTATATCATTTAAAAACACAGAAAAGTGTTTCACTGTTTCATAGTTAAATCAACTGTTTGACTTCGAACTATCTGAAAACTTTATTCGTAAAGCAATTGCATTTATATAAAAAAAAAAAAAAAAAAAAAAAAAAAAAAAAAAAAAAAATGTTCCCAACACTAGAATGAGTGTATGACAAAAATTGAAAAACTACATGCATAAAATATAGTGATTTTCTTAATGAAAGAAAATATCATTGAATTACACTATTTACTTAGATTTAAATGCACAAGAAGATTTTTTTTCCTGTAAAGCAATTTAAAAAATGGGTCTCAAACACTATCTGGAATCAAGCATATGAATATAATCAACAGCAATAAATTTCTTTCCTTGGTAAGAAATTAAAATTATAGTATAATCATTAAAACAAATTTTAAAAGCACTACACACATATAAATGATCAATAATAATGAAGTTTACAAAAAAATAATTAAAATAAAATTCCAAGAACTTCAGTTATTATTGTTCTTAAATATCAGTGATATATGTGTGTCTATGTGTATGTGAATATTTTTTTTATTCTTGAGGGAAAAAAAAAGGATATAGCTGAAAAGAAAATTTATAGTTTTTAACACTATTCATTCATAAGAATTATAAAACATTATATATTACATATTAGATACTGAATCTATCAGAGTGAAAATTAAAAAGTTTTTTATAAACTTTACAAGTGGATACAAAACCTGCAGCAATAAAGTGTTTTAAAACAACTCAATAATGAAATAAGATTCTGAATACATCTGAGAAAATGTTAAATTATATTAGGGGAAATACTCTAAGCTGAAGTATACACATTTTAAGCATGTAAATATTCTGAGTTAATACACGCTGAAATTAATAATCTTGGATTACCAATTCTTATCTTAACAGTAAACAAAATTACATTCATGAACACAAAATATAAAACTAACACAAGAATAAAATGCAACAAACTGAATATATCTAACACATTAAAAATCAAAGATCGCAGTAATTTTGAATACAACTTACCATACACAACATTGTTTCCTGATATCAAAGCCAAAATATCACATTCATTGAGCACTGAGCAACACATCAAATTATTATGCTAAAGACTACATTCAACACGACAAGTCCAAATTATAAAATCTCAAGCAATATAAAAACATATCAATATTCCATACAAAAATTTGCTTATTAAAGTACATTATTTTACATTACATCAATACTAACTTATATAAAAGTTACACATGATTTATTTTATCATGTGTTTATTTAACACATTGAAATATTTCTGGAGATGCTCTTTGTATTCTCTTGCAATTAATTATTAACAATAATAATTTTTACAGTAGTTTAAAGCAAATAACAGCTGGAAGAGAAAGCTTGCTCACATTTTTACACATTATATTATTAATTCAATGAAACTAATTTATATATTTCTCAAACAGCATATTCTTTCCTTTCAGAATACAACATTGCAAGCAGGATGAATTTTTACTTGACTAAATATTTATAATAGAATTTTTTAACAAAAGAATTTATTATTTAAATTGACTAAATATTTATTTTAATAGCACTTATAAATTGAATTTTTAACAAAAGAATTTATTATTTAAATGAAATCATTCAATTTGCATGAAAGATTATTTTGCAATTTTGAGCAAACAAATTTTAGCACTTTATAGTTATTGAATTTTTTTATACATTTATTTATTTTTTATTATCACTTATTGCCAGTTTTAAAATTTCATATTATTTTTAATCAATGGGTAAACAAATGCCTTTTCTCTAACACTAAATAATAAAACAGTGTAGTAATGGTAATTTTCTGTAAACATACTAAAATTATATAACCAAATCAAATGGAAAATGAGAATATGTAAAAATCAACCAATAATCATCAACCAGATATTAATCGCATTCCTCTGCGTATATATTTGCCCTATTTCCTTTCTCTGTGTTTCTACTGGTTTGATGATTATCGGTTGATTTTTACATATTTATGAAGCATTTTAGATTTATTGGTTTTGAATTTCTTTCATGGCTTTGTGGATTTGGTTCTAAATTTCTTTCCTTTTGTCTATAATTGATTAATATTCAGCAGCATTTTTACAGAAATGATATTGGGATAATTTGTTTTAAAATAAAAATTTGTGACATTACATTTTAATTTGAAAGTTCTATATGATATCAAAAAAGTGTTTACTTAATGTTAAATGCTTCTAAGGAGAAATAAATATGTAATAGCATATACAAAAAATAATATGTGTTAATACACAACCTGGAACAAGGAAAGCATGGCAGATGGCATTTCTGTGTTTGTATATATAGGTTACATGCATATAGACTGTTAAAGAAAGTTCCTACTGGCTTTTCTCATTAAACATGTTATGATATGTTGTATTTATTCATTTGTGCCAAGCTCCTATCAGAATTTTATGCTTTTAAATTATTTTCTGTTGTTTTATTATTTAAATACAGATATAACAGATTATCCCAATATCTTTTCCATATCATTCAGTAGTAATTAAATTCACACACGTATACTCGTATTTGACACTACAAATAATATACTTGCTCCCTGTGCCAACTTGGAAGTAGGTAGACAATATTCACCTGCTCCGCGTCTATATGCAAACTCCTACACAAGAGCGATACATTAGTTTCCATTAGCTCTACATAAGTCACTGAACAAGAATTTGAGCAGTTTGTTTATAACACATCCCAAGTGAATAAACGAAACAAATAAATAGAAATAAAATAAATGTCTTGCACTTTATATGTTATTTATTGCATCTATGTTTTGAGATATATAAATAATTGTTTCAGTATGCCAAGTTGTACTATTTAATCCCTTACTATATGCCAAACACATACACACTGCATGCATTTGTTACAGCAATAATTGTAACTCAGTGATTCAAGCAAGGTAATCAATCTCACAGCTGGCAAGTAAACTCAGTTTGCTAACTATGAGTATTTTCATAGATAGCAGAAAATGTGTTAATTATGAATACTAGAAATGTACTTCTTATTTCTCATTTTTTGCAAAATAAAGTAGAGAATTTTAAAAAACAAGTCTAGCACTAGGTTCTGTTAAAAAAAAATTCCTTGTAGATTAAAAAATACGATGAATAAAATATACTCTGTACTTTAATAAGTTAAATGAAAAATTTCCATCCTTTACAAGCAAAATTCATACAGATATTAAGAATCAACAGTTTCACTAATAAGTGCTGTTTATCCAAAATAAAACAGCATTTTCAGTTCGTATGCAATGAATACAGTTGGCACATCATTTAGTTCAGCAGCTGCAACCATTAGCACATACACACCACTTTGGGCAGATTTATTTGTAGTGGCTGCTACACCACGAAACATTTTTCTGTTTAAGAATAACTTCTTAATACTATATTTTAAAGAAAATTGTTTATTATATTTAAGACACTGATCTTTTTAAAACATTATTATTCTAATAATATTTTTTCCACCATTACCAAAAATTAAATTAATACAGTACAAAGTTCATAATCTGGACTCATCGGGACTTTGGCGATTCCGGATTAGGGGTTTTTCCAGATTATAGATCATCAATTTAAATCTGGTAAGATGGCATGCAGAAAATATACAATTAAAAATATGAAGTCGTAATTTATGAAATAAAGAACAATTATGATCTAAAGGGTATCAAAATTTACAAAAAAAAAAAAAAAAAAAAAAAAAAAAAAAAGCTTAATATTTATTTGTTTACTTTATTAAACATTTCTTTCAATGTAAGTTGTTTAAGATGCTTCCACAAAAAATTTCTTTTTCTTGTGTCATATATAAGTGGACTTTCCAATGCCATACTTCTCACATAATTTTGAGACGGATAGGCCTTTATCCATTTTTTG